ACACTGTCCCAAGTCTAGAGGAACACCATCTTCAGCACAGCAACTCGAGGAATGCTCCGTGTACCCCAAATCGTCTCGAGATGAGAGCTGATTCCCTGACTTAGGCTCAAGACGTATGCCAACTTTCCAGAAGCACCTCAAGGGGAGCCTTCTCTCAGCAATAGGTATGTTGGAGGGACCCCCAGTTTGCTGCCTCAAAAGGAATATACAGCGAGAAGCCCTAACTTGAAAGGAGGCCGGATTTCCTTGCAGTGTCTTGAATACAGGCTCGTCTTTCATCTCACAACCGGAAGGAATGTCTGAATCCTCTGTGGAGACCTTAGAGAAAGCGCTAGTTCCCTGCCTCATTTTGAAGGAATTTCTCACATCCCGTTGACACCTCGAGAGGCACACAGAGTTCACTGCTTCAAAATGTGATGATGCCTGACCCTTCTTGAACTTTGATAGGAATCCCAAAATCACTTTAGCTACAGGACAGCGTTCTTGGGTGCCCTGCCTCACGTCGAGAAGCATCCCTTTGCCTGCCAAGCCTCGAAGAGATTACTGAGGTGTCTCTCGTTACTAGACAGGAGTCCTGACGTCACTGAATAAACACGTTTTTTGAAGGGCCATCCCCGCCGTAACTCGAGAACATACCCCAGGTCCCGCCGCAACTCGAGTAAAACCATGAGACTTCCCCTAGATGCGAGATGAGGCCTGATTCCCTGCAGTCCATGCAGAGCATTCCCATGATCCCCATCAAGCAAGTCAGGAGCTTCGACTTGCTTAATCGAACTCGAGAAAGTCCCTAGGAACACTGTCACAAGTCTAGACAGACCCTGAGGTCACCCCAGCAATGTAAAGCAGCTCCAAGTACCCCACATCAACCCGCGATGAGGCCCGATTCCCCTGCATTGATTCCAGAGCCATCCCCCGTACCACATTAAACACCAAAAGTGGTTTGACTTCCTTCAGGCAACTCCAGAGATGCCCTGAGAACACTGTCCCAAGTCTAGAGGAATACGAACTTCAGCACAGCAACTCGAAGAATGCTCCGTGTACCACAAATTGTTTCGAGGTGAGAGCTGCTTCCATGGCTTAGGCTCAAGACGTATGCCAACTTTTCAGAAGCACCTCAAGAGGAGGCTTCTCTCAGCAGTAGGTATGTGGGAGGGACCACGAGTTTGCTGCCTCAAGTGGAATATACACGAGAAGCCCTAACTTGAAAGGAGGACGGATTTCCTTGCAGTGGCTTGAATACAGGCTCGTCTTTCATCTCACAGCATGAAGGGATGTCTGAAGCCCCTGTGGAGACCTTAGAGAAAGCTCTAGGTCCCTGCCTCATTTTGAGGGAATGCCTCACATCCCGTTGTCACCTCGAGAGGCACGCGGAGTTCAGTGCTTCAAAATGTGACGATGCCTGACTCCTCTTGAATATTGATAGGAATCCCAAAATCCATGTGGCTATTGGAAAGGTTCCTTGGGTGCCCTGCCTCACCTCGAGAAGCGTCCCTTGTGCACTGCCAAGCCTCGAAGAGATTCCTGAGCTGCCCCTCGTTACTGGACAGGAGTCCTGACGTCACTGAATAAACACGAGTTTTGAAGGCCATCCCCGTCGTAACCCGAGTACATACCCCAGGTCCCCGCCGCAAGTCGAGAAAAACCATGAGACTTTCCCCTATAGGCGAGATGAGGCCCGATTCTCCTGCAGTGCATGCAGAGCAATTCCGTGATCCCCATCAAACAAGTCAGGACCTTCGACTTGCTTAATGGATCTCGAGAGAGTCCCTAAAAAAACTGTCACATGTCTAGACGGATCCTGCGGTTACCCCATCAACGCAAAGCAGCACCATGTTCCCCACATCAACTAGAGATAATGCCCGAATCCCCTGCATTGACTCCAGAGCCATCCCAATTTCCACATTAAACACCACCAGTGGCTTGACTTCCTTCAGACAACTCCAGAGATGCCCTGAGAACACTGTCCCAAGTCTAGAGGAACACCATCTTCAGCACAGCAACTCGAGGAATGCTCCGTGTACCCCAAATCGTCTCGAGATGAGAGCTGATTCCCTGGCTTAGGCTCAAGACGTATGCCAACTTTCCAGAAGCACCTCAAGGGGAGGCTTCTCTCAGCATTAGTTATGTTGGAGGGACCCCCAGTTTGCTGCCTCAAGTGGAATATGCAACGAGAAGCCCTAACTTGAAAGGAGGCCGGGTTTCCTTGCAGTGTCTTGAATACAGGCTCGTCTTTCATCTCACAACCGGAAGGAATGTCTGAATCCCCTGTGGAGACCTTAGCGAAAGCCCTAGGTCCCTGCCTCATTTTGACGGATTGCCTCACATCCCCTTGACACCTCGGGAGGCACACGGAGTTCACTGCTTCAAATGTGACGATGCCTGACTCCTCCTGAACATTGATAGGAATCCCAAAATCACTGTGGCTACAGGAAAGGGTTCTTGTGTGCCCTGCCTCACCTCTAGAAGCATCCCTTTTGCCCTGCCAAGGCTCGAAGAGATTCCTGAGGTGTCCCTCATTACTAGACAGGAGTCATGACGTCACTGACTAAACACGTGTTTTCAAGGGCCATGCCCGCCATAACTCGATAACATACCCCAGGTCCCGACGCAACTCGAGAAAAACGATGAGGCTTCCCCTAGATGCGATATGAGGCTTGATTCCCTGCAGTACATGCAGAGCATTCCCGTGATCCCAATCAAGCAAGTCAGCAGCTTCAAATTGCTTAATGGATCTCGAGAGAGTCCCCAGGAACACTGTCACAAGTCTAGACAGACCGTGACATCACCCCAGCAACGCAAAGCAGCTCCAAGTACCCCACATCAACTCGAGTTGAGGCCCGATTCCCATGCATTGACTCCAGAGCTATCCGCCATACCCCATTAAAGCACAACCAGTGGATTGATTTCCTTCAGGCAACTCCAGAGATGCCCCGAGAACACTCTCCGAAGTCTAGAGGAATACGAACTTCAGCAAAGCAACTCGAGGAATGCTCCGTGTACCCCAAATCGTTTCGAGGTGAGAGCTGATTCCATGGCTAGGCTCAAGACGTATGCCAACTTTCCAGAAGCACCTCAAGAGGAGGCTTCTCTCAGCAATAGGTATTTGGGAGGGACCCCGAGTTTGCTGCCTCAAGTGGAATATACAGCGAGAAGCCCTAACTTGAAAGGAGGCCGGATTTCCTTGCAGTGGCTTGAATACAGGCACGTCTTTCATCTCACAGCATGAAGGGATGTCTGAATCCCCTGTGGAGACCTTACAGAAAGCTCTAGGTACCTGCCTCATTTTGACGGAATGCCTCACATGCCATTGACACTTCGAGAGGCACGCAGAGTTCACTGCTTCAAAAGGTGATGATGCCTCACTCCTCTTGAATATTGATAGGAATCCCAAAATCACTGTGGCTCCTGGAAAGGGTCCTTGAGTGTCCTGCGTCACCTCGAGAAGCATACCTTTTGACCTGCCAAGCCTCGAAGAGATTCCTGAGGTGTCCCTCGTTACTAGACAAGAGTCCTGACGGCACTGAATAAACACGTGTTTTGAAGGGCCATCCCCGCCGTAACTCGAGAAGATACCCCAGGTCCCCCGCGCAACTTGAGAGAAACCATGAGACTTCCCCCTAGATGCGAGATGAGTCCTGATTCCCTGCAGTGCATGCAGAGTATTCCCGTGATCCCCATAAAACAAGTCAGGAGCTTCGAATTGCTTAATGGATCTCGAGACAGTCCCCAAGAACACTGTCACAAGTCTAGACGGACCCTGAGGTCACCCCAGCAACGCAAAGCAGCTCCATGTGCCCCAAATCAACCCGAGATGTGGCCCGATTCCCCTGCATTGACTCCAGAGCCATCCCCAGTTCCCCATTAAACAAGACAACTGGCAAGACTTCCTTCATGCAACTCCAGAGATGCCCAGCAAACACTCTCCCAAGACTAGAGGAATACCAACTTCAGCACAGCAACTCGAGGAATGCTCCGTGTACCACAAATCGTCTCGAGATGAGAGCTGAATCCCTGGCTTAGGCTCAAGACGTATGCCAACTTTCCAGAAGCACCTCAAGAGGAGGATTCTCTCAGCAATAGGTATGTTGGAGGGACCCCGAGTTTGCTGCCTCAAGTGGAATATACAGCGAGAAGCCCTAACTTGAAAGGAGGCCGGCTTTCCTTGCAGTGGCTTGAATACAGGCTCGTCTTTCATCTCACAGAATGAAGGGATGTCTGAATCCCCTGTGGAGGCCTTAGAGAAAGCTATAGGTCCCTACCTCATTTTGACGGAATGCCTCACATCCCGTTGTCACCTCCAGAGGCACGCGGAGTTCACTGCTTCAAAAGGTGACGATGCCTGACTCCTCTAAAATATTTATAGGAATCCCAAAATCCCTGTGGCTATTGGAAACGTTCCTGGGTGCCCTGCCTCAAGTGGAGAAGCGTCCCTTGTGCCCCGCCAAGCCTCGATGAGATTCCTGAGCTGTCTCTCGTTACTGGACAGGAGTTCTGACGTCACTGAATAAACACGAGTTTTGAAGGCCATCCCCGCCGTAACCCGAGTACATACCCCAGGTCCCCGCCGCAAGTCGAGAAAAACCATGAGACTTTCCCCTAGAGGCGAGATGAGGCCCGATTCTCCTGCAGTGCATGCAGAGCAATTCCGTGATCCCCATCAAACAAGTCAGAAGCTTCGACTTGCTTAATGGATCTCGAGACAGTCCACAAGAACACTGTCACATGTCTAGACGGATCCTGAGGTCACCCCATCAAGGCAAAGCAGCACCATGTGCCCCAAATCAACTCGAGATAATGCCCGATTCCCCTGCATTGACTCCAGAGCCATCCCCCGTTCCACATTAAACACGACCAGTGGCTTGACTTCCTTCAGGCAACTCCAGAGACGCCCTGAGAACACTGTCCCAAGTCTAGAGGAACACCATCTTCAGCACAGCAACTCGAGGAATGCTCCGTGTACCCCAAATCGTCTCGAGATGAGAGCTGATTCCCTGGCTTAGGCTCAAGACGTATGCCAACTTTCCAGAAGCACCTCAAGGGGAGCCTTCTCTCAGCAATAGGTATGTTGGAGGGACCCCCAGTTTGCTGCCTCAAAAGGAATATACAGCGAGAAGCCCTAACTTGAAAGGAGGCCGGATTTCCTTGCAGTGTCTTGAATACAGGCTCGTCTTTCATCTCACAACCGGAAGGAATATCTGAATCCTCTGTGGAGACCTTAGAGAAAGCGCTAGGTCCCTGCCTCATTTTGAAGGAATGTCTCACATCCCGTTGACACCTCGAGAGGCACACAGAGTTCACTGCTTCAAAATGTGATGATGCCTGACTCCTCTTGAACATTGATAGGAATCCCAAAATCACTTTAGCTACAGGACAGGGTTCTTGGGTGCCCTGCCTCACCTCGAGAAGCATCCCTTTGCCTGCCAAGCCTCGAAGAGATTCCTGAGGTGTCTCTCGTTACTAGACAGGAGTCCTGACGTCACTGAATAAACACGTGTTTTGAAGGGCCATCCCCGCCGTAACTCGAGAACATACCCCAGGTCCCGCCGCAACTCGAGAAAAACCATGAGACTTCCCCTAGATGCGAGATGACGTCTGATTCCCTGCAGTCCATGAAGAGCAGTCCCGTGATCCCCATCAAGCAAGTCAGGAGCTTCGACTTGCTTAATGGATCTCCAGAGAGTCCCCAGGAACACTGTCACAAGTCTAGACAGACCCTGAGGTCACCCCAGCAATGCAAAGCAGCTCCAAGTGCCCCACATCAACCCGCGATGAGGCCCGATTCCCCTGCATTGATTCCAGAGCCATCCCCCGTACCACATTAAACACCAAAAGTGGTTTGACTTCCTTCAGGCAACTCCAGAGATGCCCTGAGAACACTGTCCCAAGTCTAGAGGAATACGAACTTCAGCACAGCAACTCGAAGAATGCTCCGTGTACCCCAAATCGTTTCGAGGTGAGAGCTGCTTCCATGGCTTAGGCTCAAGACGTATGCCAACTTTTCAGAAGCACCTCAAGAGGAGGCTTCTCTCAGCAGTAGGTATGTGGGAGGGACCCCGAGTTTGCTGCCTCAAGTGGAATATACACGAGAAGCCCTAACTTGAAAGGAGGACGGATTTCCTTGCAGTGGCTTGAATACAGGCTCGTCTTTCATCTCACAGCATGAAGGGATGTCTGAAGCCCCTGTGGAGACCTTAGAGAAAGCTCTAGGTCCCTGCCTCATTTTGAGGGAATGCCTCACATCCCGTTGTCACCTCGAGAGGCACGCGGAGTTCAGTGCTTCAAAATGTGACGATGCCTGACTCCTCTTGAATATTGATAGGAATCCCAAAATCCATGTGGCTATTGGAAAGGTTCCTTGGGTGCCCTGCCTCACCTCGAGAAGCGTCCCTTGTGCACTGCCAAGCCTCGAAGAGATTCCTGAGCTGCCCCTCGTTACTGGACAGGAGTCCTGACGTCACTGAATAAACACGAGTTTTGAAGGCCATCCCCGTCGTAACCCGAGTACATACCCCAGGTCCCCGCCGCAAGTCGAGAAAAACCATGAGACTTTCCCCTATAGGCGAGATGAGGCCCGATTCTCCTGCAGTGCATGCAGAGCAATTCCGTGATCCCCATCAAACAAGTCAGGACCTTCGACTTGCTTAATGGATCTCGAGACAGTCCACAAGAATACTGTCACATGTCTAGACGGATCCTGAGGTCACCCCATCAACGCAAAGCAGCACAATGTGCCCCAAATCAACTCGGGATGATGGCAGATTCCCCTGCATTGACCCTAGAGCTATCCCCCGTTCCACATTAAACACGACCAGTGGCTTGACTTCTTTAAGGCAACTCCAGAGATGCCCGGAGAACACTGTCCCAAGTCTAGAGGAACACCAACTTCAGCACAGCAACTCGAGGAATGCGCCGTGTACCCCAAATCGTCTCGAGATGAGAGCTGATTCCCTGGCTTAGGTTCACGACGTATGCCAATTTCCAGAAGCACCTCAAGCGGAGGATTCTCTCAGCAATAGGTATGTTGGAGGGACCTCCACTTTGCTGCCTCAAGTGGAATATACAGCGAGAAGCCCTAACTTGAAAGGAGGCCGGATTTACTTGCAGTGTCTTGAATACAGGCTCGTCTTTCATCTCACAACAGGAAGGGATGTCTGAATCCCCTGTGGAGACCTTAGAGAAAGCCCTAGGTCCCTGCCTCATTTTGACGGAATGCCTCACTTCCCGTTGACACCTCGAGAGGCACACGGAGTTCACTGCTTCAAAATGTGACGATGCCTGTCTCCTCCTGAACATTGATAGGAATCCCAAAATCACTGTGGCTACAGGAAAGGGTTCTTGTGTGCCCTGCCTCACCTCGAGAAGCATCCCTTTTGCCCTGCCAAGCCTCGAAGAGATTCCTGATGTGTCCCTCGTTACTAGACAGGAGAACTGACGTCACTGAATAAACACGTGTTTTGAAGGGCCATCCCGGCAATAACTCAAGAACATATCCCAGGTCCCGCCGCAACTCGAGAAAAACCATGAGACTTCCCCTAGACGTGAGATGACGTCTGATTCCCTGCAGTCCATGCAGAGCAGTCCCGTGATCCCCATCAAGCAAGTCAGGAGCTTCGACTTGCTTAATGGATCTCCAGAGAGTCCCCAGGAACACTGTCACAAGTCTAGACAGACCCTGAGGTCACCCCAGCAATGCAAAGCAGCTCCAAGTGCCCCACATCAACTCGAGATGAGGCCCGATTCTCCGGTATTGACTCAAGAGCCATCCCCCGTACCCCATTAAACACCAACACTGGCTTGACTTCATTCAGTCAACTCCAGAGATGCCCCAAGAACACTGTTCCAAGTCTAGAGGAACACCAACTTCAGCACAGCAACTCGAGGAATGCTCCGTGCACCCCAAATCGTTCCGAGGTGAGAGCTGATACCCTGGCTTAGGCTCAAGACGTATAACAACTTTCCAGAAGCACCTCAAGAGCAGGCTTCTCTCAGCAATCGGTATGTGGGAGGGAACCCGAGTTTGCTGCCTCAAGTGGAATATACAGTGAGAAGCCCTAACTTGAAAGGAGGCCGGATTTCCTGGCAGTGTGTTGAATACAGGCTCGTCTTTCATCTCACAGCATGAAGGGGTGTCTGAATCCCCTGTGAAGACCTTTGAGAAAGCCCTAGGTCCCTGCCTCATTGTGACGGAATGCCTCACATCCCGTTGACACCACAAGAGGCACGCGGAGTTCACTGCCTCAAAAGGTGACGATGCCTGACTCCTCTTGAATATTGATAGGAATCCCAAAATCCCTGTGGCTATTGGAAAGGTTCCTTGGGTGCCCTGCCTCATCTCGAGAAGCGTCCCTTGTGCCCCGGCAAGCCTCGAAGAGTTTCCTGAGCTGTCCCTCGTTACTGGACAGGAGTCCTGACGTCACTGAATAAACACGTGTTTTGAAGGGCCATCGCCGCCGTAACTCGAGTACATACCCCAGGACCCCGCCGCAACTCGAGAAAAATCATGAGACTTCCGCCTAGAGGCGAGATGAGGCCCGATTCTCCTGCAGTGCATGCAGAGCAATTCCGTGATCCCCATCAAACAAGTCAGGAGCTTCGACTTGATTAATGAATCTCGGGACATTCCCCAAGAACACTGTCACATGTCTAGACTGACCCTGAGGTATCCCCAGCAACGCAAAGCAGCTCCATGTGCCCCAAATCAACTTGAGATGAGGTCCGATTCCCCTGCATTGACTCCAGAGCCATCTGCCATTCCGCATTAAACACCACCAGTGGCTTGACCTCCTTCAGACAACTCCAGAGATGCCCCGAGAACACTGTCCCAAGTCTAGAGGAACACCTACTTTAGCACAGCAACTCGAGGAATGCTTCCTGTGTGCCAAATCTTCTCGAGATGAGAGCTGATTCCATGGCTTAGGCTCAAGACGTATGCCAACTTTCCAGAAGCACCTCAAGAGGAGGTTTCTCTCAGCAATAGGTATGTGGGAGGGAACCCGAGTTTGCTGCCTCAAATGGAAAATACAGCGAGAAGCACTAACTAGAATGGAGGCCGGTTTCCTAGCAGTGTCCTGAATACAGGCTCGTCTTTCATCTCACAGCAGGAAGAGATGTCTGAATCCCCTGTGGAGACCTTAGAGAAAGCCCTAGGTCCCTGCCTCATTTTGACGGAATGCCTCACATCCCGTTGACACCTCGAGAGTCACGCGGAGTTCACTGCTTCAAAAGGTGACGATGCCTGACTCCTCTTGAATATTGATAGGAATCACAAAATCCCTGTGGCTATTTGAAAGGTTCCTTGGGTGCGCTGCCTCACCTCGAGAAGCGTCCCTTGTGCCTGCCAAGCCTCGAAGAGATTCCTGAGCTGTCCCTCATTACTGGACAGGAGTCCTGACGTCACTGAATAAACAGGAGTTTTTAAGGGCCATCCCCGCCGTAACCCGAGTACATACCCCAGGTCCCCGCCGCAAGTCGAGAAAAACCATGAGACTTTCCCCTAGTGGCGAGATGAGGCCCGATTCTCCTGCAGTGCATGCAGAGCAATTCCGTGATCCCCATCAAACAAGTCAGGACCTTCGACTTGCTTAATGGATCTCGAGACAGTCCCCAAGAATACTGTCACATGTCTAGACGGATCCTGAGGTCACCCCATCAACGCAAAGCAGCACCATGTGCCCCACATCAACTCGAGATAATGCCCGATTCCCCTGCATTGACTCCAGAGCCATCCCCCGTTCCACATTAAACACCACCAATGGCTTGACTTCCTTAAGACAACTCCAGAGATGCCCTGAGAACACTGTCCCAAGTCTAGAGGATCACCATCTTCAGCACAGCAACTCGAGGAATACTCCGTGTACCCCAAATCGTCTCGAGATGAGAGCTGATTCCCTGGCTTAGGCTCAAGACGTATGCCAACTTTCCAGAAGCACCTCAAGGGGAGGCTTCTCTCAGCAATAGTTATGTTGGAGGGACCCCCAGTTTGCTGCCTCAAGTGGAATATGCAACGAGAAGCCCTAACTTGAAAGGAGGCCGGGTTTCCTTGCAGTGTCTTGAATACAGGCTCGTCTTTCATCTCACAACCGGAAGGATTGTCTGAATCCCCTGTGGAGACCTTAGCGAAAGCCCTAGGTCCCTGCCTCTTTTTGACGGATTGCCTCACATCCCGTTGACACCTCGGGAGGCACACGGAGTTCACTGCTTCAAATGTGACGATGCCTGACCCCTCCTGATCATTGATAGGAATCCAAAATCACTCTGGCTACAGGAAAGGGTTCTTGTGTGCCCTGCCTCACCTCGAGAAGCATCCCTTTTGCCCTGCCAAGGCTCGAAGAGATTCCTGAGGTGTCCCTCATTACTAGACAGGAGTACTGACGTCACTGAATAAACACGTGTTTTCAAGGGCCATGCCCGCCATAACTCGAGAACATACCCCAGGTCCCGCCGCAACTCGAGAAAAACCATGAGACTTCCCCTAGATGCGATATGAGGCCTGATTCCCTGCAGCCCATGCAGAGCATTCCCGTGATCCCAATCAAGCAAGTCAGCAGCTTCAAATTGCTTAATGGATCTCGAGAGAGTCCCCAGGAACACTGTCACAAGTCTAGACAGACCCTGACATCACCCCAGCAATGCAAAGCAGCTCCAATTACCCCACATCAACTAGAGTTGAGGCCCGATTCCCATGCATTGACTCCAGACCCATCCCCCGTACCCCATTAAACACCACCAGTGGCTTGACTTCCTTCAGGCAACTCGAGAGATGCCCTGAGAACACTGTCCCAAGTCTAGAGGAATACGAACTTCAGCACAGCAACTCGAGGAATGCTCCGTGTACCCCAAATCGTTTCGAGGTGAGAGCTGATTCCATGGCTTAGGCTCAAGACGTATGCCAACTTTCCAGAAGCACCTCAAGAGGAGGCTTCTCTCAGCAATAGGTATTTGGGAGGGACCCCGAGTTTGCTGCCTCAAGTGGAATATACAGCGAGAAGCCCTAACTTGAAAGGAGGCCGGATTTCCTTACAGTGGCTTGGATACAGGCTCGTCTTTCATCTCACAGCATGAAGGGATGTCTGAAACCCCTGTGGAGACCTTAGAGAAAGCTCTAGGTCCCTGCCTCATTTTGAAGGAATGCCTCACATCCCGTTTACACATCGAGAGGCACGCGGAGGTCACTGCTTCAAAAGGTGATGATGCCTCACTCGTCTTGAATATTGATAGGAATCCCAAAATCACTGTGGCTAGAGGAAACGATTCTTGTGTGCCCTGCCTCACCTCGAGAAGCATCCATTTTGCCCTGCCAAGCCTCAAAGAGATTCCTGAGTTGTCCCTCGTTACTAGGCAGGAGTCCTGACGGCACTGAATAAACACGTGTTTTGAAGGGCCATCCCGGCCGTAACTCGAGAAGATACCCCAGGTCCCCCGCGCAACTTGAGAGAAACCATGAGACTTCCCCTTAGATGGGAGATGAGTCCTGATTCCCTGCAGTGCATGCAGAGTATTCCCGTGATCCCCATCAAACAAGTCAGGAGCTTCGACTTGCTTAATGGATCTCGAGACAGTCCCCAAGAACACTGTCACAAGTCTAGACGGACCCTGAGGTCACCCCAGCAACGCAAAGCAGCTCCATGTGCCCCAAATAAACACGAGATGTGGCCCGATTCCCATGCATTGACTCCAGAGCCATCCCCAGTTCCCCATTAAACAAGACCACTGGCTTTTCTTCCTTCAGGCAACTCCAGAGATGCCCCGAGAACACTGTCCCAAGACTAGAGGAACACAAAATTCAGCACAGCAACTCGAGGAATGCCCCGTGTACCACAAATCGTCTCGAGATGAGAGCGGATTCCCTGGCTTAGGCTCAAGACGTATGCCAACTTTCCAGAAGCACCTCAAGAGGAGGCTTCTCTCAGGAATTGGTATGTGGGAGGGACCCCGAGTTTGCTGCCTCAAGTGGAATATACAGCGAGAAGCCCTAACTTGAAAGGAGGCCGGATTTCCTTGCAGTGTCTTGTATACAGGCTCGTCTTTCATCTCACAACAGGAAGGGATGTCTGCATCCCCTGTGAAGACCTTAGAGAAAGCCATAGGTCCCTGCATCATTTTGACGGAATGCCTCACATCCCGTTGACACCACGAGAGGCTCGCGGAGTTTACTGCTTCAAAAGGTGACGATGCCTGACTCCTCTTGAATATTGATACGAATCCCAAAATCACTGTGGCTATTGGAACGGTTCCTTGGGTGCCCTGCCTCATCTCGAGAAGCGTCCCTTGTGCCCCGGCAAGCCTCGAAGAGATTCCTGAGCTGTCCCTCGTTACTGGACAGGAGTCCTGACGTCACTGAATAAACACGTGTTTTGAAGGGCCATCGCCGCCGTAACTCGAGAACATATCCCAGGTCCCCGCCGCAACTCGAGAAAAACCATGAAACTTTCCCCTAGAGGCGAGATGAGGCCCGATTCTCCTGCACTGCATGCAGAGCAATTCCGTGATCCCCATCCAACAAGTCAGGAGCTTCGACTTGCTTAATGGATCTCGAGACATTCCCCAAGAACACTGTCACATGTCTAGACGGACCCTGAGGTATCCCCAGCAACGCAAAGCAGCTCCATGTGCCCCAAATCAACATGAGATGAGGTCCGATTCCCCTGTATTGATTCCAGAGCCATCTGCCGTTCCGCATTAAACACCACCACTGGCTTGACCTCCTTCAGACAACTCCAGAGATGCCCCGAGAACACTGTCCCTAGTCTAGAGGAACACATACTTTAGCACAGCAACTCGAGGAATGCTTCCTGTATGCCAAATCTTCTCGAGATGAGAGCTGATTCCCTGGCTTAGGCTCAAGACGTATGCCAACTTTCCAGAAGCACTTCAAGAGGAGGCTTCTCTCAGCAATAGGTATGTGGGAGGGAACCCGAGTTTGCTGCCTCAAATGGAATATACAGCGAGAAGCACTAACTAAAAAGGAGGCCGGTTTCCTAGCAGTGTCTTGAATACAGGCTCGTCTTTCATCTCACAGCAGGAAGAGATGTCTGAATCCCCTGTGGAGACTGTAGTGAAAGCCCTAGGTCCCTGCCACATTTTGACGGAATGCTTCACATCCGGTTGACACCTCGAGAGTCACGCGGAGTTCACTGCTTCAAAAGCTGACGATGCCTGACTCCTCTAAAATATTGGTAGGAATCACAAAATCCCTGTGGCTATTTGAAAGGTTCCTTGGGTGCCCTGCCTCACCTCGAGAAGCGTCCCTTGTGCCTGCCAAGCCTCGAAGAGATTCCTGAGCTGTCCCTCCTTACTGGACAGGAGTCCTGACGTCACTGAATAAACAGGAGTTTTTAAGGGCCATCCCCGCTGTAACCCGAGTACATACCCCAGGTCCCCGTCGCAAGTCGAAAAAAACCATGAGACTTTCCCCTCGTGGCGAGATGAGGCCCGATTCTCCTGCAGTGCATGCAGAGCAATTCCGTGATCCCCATCAAACAAGTCAGGACCTTCGACTTGCTTAATGGATCTCGAGACAGTCCCCAAAAAAACTGTCACATGTCTAGACGGATCCTGCGGTCACCCCATCAACGCAAAGCAGCACCATGTGCCCAACATCAACTCGAGATAATGTCCGAATCCCCTGCATTGACTCCAGAGCCATCCCCCGTTCCACATTAAACACCACCAGTGGCTTGACTTCCTTCAGACAACTCCAGAGATGACCTGAGAACACTGTCCCAAGTCTAGAGGAAGACCATCTTCAGCACAGCAACTCGAGGAATGCTCCGTGTACCCCAAATCGTCTCGAGATGAGAGCTGATTCCCTGGCTTAGGCTCAAGACGTATGCCAACTTTCCGGAAGCACCTCAAGGGGAGGCTTCTCTCAGCAAAAGGTATGTTGGAGGGACCCCCAGTTTGCTGCCTCAAGTGGAATATGCAGTGAGAAGCCCTAACTTGAAAGGAGGCCGGGTTTCCTTGCAGTGTCTTGAATACAGGCTCGTCTTTAATCTCACAACCGGAAGGAATGTCTGAATCCCCTGTGGAGACCTTAGCGAAAGCCCTAGGTCCCTGCCTCATTTTGACGGATTGCCTCACATCCCGTTGACACCTCGAGAGGCACACGGAGTTCACTGCTTCAAATGTGACGATGCCTGACTCCTCCTGAACATTGATAGGAATCCCAAAATCACTGTGGCTACAGGAAAGGGTTCTTTGGTGCCCTGCCTCACCTCGAGAAGCATCCCTTTTGCCCTGCCAAGCCTCGAAGAGATTCCTGAGGTGTCTCTCGTTACTAGACAGGAGTCCTGACGTCACTGAATAAACACGTGTTTTGAAGGGCCATCCCCGCCGTAACTCGAGAACATACCCCAGTTCGCGCCGCAACTCGAGTAAAACCATGAGATTTCCCCTAGAGGCGAGATGAGGCCTGATTCCCTGCAGTCCATGAAGAGCATTCGCGTGATCCCCATCAAGCAAGTCAGGAGCTTCGACTTGCTTAATTGAACTCGAGAAAGTCCCCAGGAACACTGTCACAAGTCTAGACAGACCCTGAGGTCACCCCAGCAATGCAAAGCAGCTGCAAGTACCCCACATCAACTCGAGATGAGGCCCGATTCCCATGCATTGACTCCAGAGCCATCCCCAGTTCCCCATTAAACAAGACCACTGGCTTGTCTTCCTTCAGACAACTCCAGAGATGCCCCGAGAACACTGTGCCAAGACTAGAGGAACACCAACTTCAGCACAGCAACTCGAGGAATGCCCCGTGTACCACAAATCGTCTCGAAATGAGAGCTGATTCCCTGGCTTAGGCTCAAGACGTATGCCAACTTTCCAGAAGCACCTCAAGGGGAGGCTTCTCTCAGCAATAGGTATATTGGAGGGACCCCCACTTTGCTGCCTCAAGTGGAATATACAGCGAGAAGCCCTAACTTGAAAGGAGGCCGGATTTCCTTGCAGTGGCTTGAATACAGGCTCGTCTTTCATCTCACAGCATGAAGGGGTGTCTGAATCCCCTGTGAAGACCTTTGAGAAAGCCCTAGGTCCCTGCCTCATTGTGACGGAATGCCTCACATCCCGTTGACACTACGAGAGGCACGCGGAGTTCACTGCTTCAAAAGGTGACGATGCCTGACTCCTCTTGAATATTGACAGGAATCCCAAAATCCCTGTGGCTATTGGAAAGGTCCCTTGGGTGCCCTGCCTCATCTCGAGAAGCGTCCCTTGTGCCCTGGCAAGCCTCGAAGAGATTCCTGAGCTGTCCCTCGTTACTGGACAGGAGTCCTGACGTCACTGAATAAACACGTGTTTTGAAGGGCCATCGCCGCCGTAACTCGAGTACATACCCCAGGTCCCCGCCTCAACTCGAGAAAAACCATGAGACTTCCGCCTAGAGGCGAGATGAGGCCCGATTCTCCTGCAGTGCATGCAGAGCAATTCCGTGATCCCCATCAAACAAGTCAGGAGCTACGACTTGCTAAATGGATCCTGAGACATTCCCCAAGAACACTGTCACATGTCTAGACGGACCCTGAGGTATGCCCAGCAACGCAAAGCAGCTCCATGTGCCCCAAATCAACTTGAGATGAGGTCCGATTCCCCTGCATTGACTCCAGTGCCATCTGCCGTTCCGCATTAAACACCACCAGTGGCTTAACCTCCTTCAGACAACTCCAGAGATGCCCCGAGAACACTGTCCCAAATCTAGAGGAACACCTACTTTAGCACAGCAACTCGAGGAATGCTTCCTGTATGCCAAATCTTCTCGAGTTGAGAGCTGATTCCCTGGCTTAGGCTCAAGACGTATGCCAACTTTCCAGAAGCACCTCAAGAGGAGGCTTCTCTCAGCAATACATATGTGGGAGGGAACCCGAGTTTGCTGCCTCAAATGGAATATACAGCGAGAAGCACTAACTAGAATGGAGGCCGGTTTCCTAGCAGTGTCTTGAATACAGGCTCATCTTTCATCTCACAGCAGGAAGAGATGTCTGAATCCCCTGTGGAGACCTTAGAGAAAGCCCTAGGTCCCTGCCTCATTTTGACGGAATGCCTCACATCCCGTTGACACCTCGGGAGGCACACGGAGTTCACTGCTTCAAATGTGACGATGCCTTACCCCTCCTGATCATTGATAGGAATCCCAAAATCACTGTGGCTACAGGAAAGGGTTCTTGTGTGCCCTGCCTCACCTCGAGAAGCATCCCTTTTGCCCTGCCAAGGCTCGAAGAGATTCCTGAGGTGTCCCTCATTACTAGACAGGAGTCATGGCGTCACTGAATAAACACGTGTTTTCAAGGGCCATGCCCGCCATATCTCGAGAACATACCCCAGGTCCCGCCGCAACTCGAGAAAAACCATGAGACTTCCCCTAGATGCGAGATGAGGCCTGATTCCCTGCAGTCCATGCAGAGCATTCCCGTGATCCCAATCAAGCAAGTCAGCAGCTTCGAATTTCTTAATGGATCTCGAGATTCCCCCCAGGAACACTGTCACAAGTCTAGACAGACCCTGACATCACACCAGCAACGCAAAGCAGCACCAAGTACCCCATATCAACTCGCGTTGAGGCCCGATTCCCATGCATTGACTCCAGAGCCATCCCCCGTACCCCATTAAACACCACCAGTGGCTTGACTTCCTTCAGGCAAATCCAGAGATGCCCCGAGAACACTGTCCCAAGTCTAGAGGAATACGAATTTCAGCACAGCAACTCGAGGAATGCTCCCTGTACCCCAAATCGTTTCGAGGTGAGAGCTGATTCCATGGCTTAGGCTCAAGACGTATGCCAACTTTCCAGAAGCCCCTCAAGAGGAGGATTCTCTCAGCAATAGGTATGTTGGAGGGACCCCCACTTTACTGCCTCAAGTGGAATATACAGCCAGAAGCCCTAACTTGAAAGGAGGCCGGATTTCCTTGCAGTGTCTTGAATACAGGCTCGTTTTTCATCTCACAACCGGAAGGGATGTCTGAATCCCCTGTGGAGAACTTAGAGAAAGCCCTAGGTCCCTGCCTCATTTTGACGGATTGCCTCACATCCCGTTGACAACTCGAGAGGCACGCGGAGTTCACTGCTTCAAAAGGTGATGATGCCTGACTCGTCTTGAATATTGATAGGAATCCCAAAATCCCTGTGGCTATTTGAAAGGTTCCTTGGGTGTCCTGCCTCACCTCGAGAAGCGTCCCTTGTGCCTGCCAAGCCTCGAAGAGATTCCTGAGCTGTCCCTCGTTACTGGACAGGAGTCCTGACGTCACTGAATAAACACGAGTTTTGAAGGCCATCCCCGCCGTAACCCGAGTACATACCCCAGGTCCCCGCCGCAAGTCGAGAAAAACCATGAGACTTTCCCCTAGTGGCGAGATGTGGCCCGATTCTCATGCAGTGCATGCAGAGCAATTCTGTGATCCCCATCAAACAAGTCAGGACCTTCGACTTGATTAATGGATCTCGAGACAGTCCCCAAGAATACTGTCACATGTCTAGACGGATCCTGAGGTCACCCCATCAACGCAAAGCAGCACCATGTGCCCCACATCAACTCGAGATAATGCCCGATTCCCCTGCATTGACTCCAGAGCCATCCCCCGTTCCACATTAAACACCACCAGTGGCTTGACTTCCTTCAGACAACTCCAGAGATGCCCTGAGAACACTGTCCCAAGTCTAGAGGAACACCATCTTCAGCACAGCAACTCGAGGAATGCTCCGTGTACCCCAAATCGTCTGGAGATGAGAGCTGATTCCCTGGCTTAGGCTCAAGACGTATGCCAACTTTCCAGAAGCACCTCAAGGGGAGGCTTCGCTCAGCAATAGGTATGTTGGAGGGACCCCCAGTTTGCTGCCTCAAGTGGAATATGCAGCGAGAAGCCCTAACTTGAAAGGAGGCCGGGTTTCCTTGCAGTGTCTTGAATACAGGCTCGTCTTTCATCTCACAACGGGAAGGAATGTCTGAATCCCCTGTGGAGACCTTAGCGAAAGCCCTAGGTCCCTGCCTCATTTTGACGGATTGCCTCACATCCCGTTGACACCTCGAGAGGCACCCGGAGTTCACTGCTTCAAATGTGACGATGCCTGACTCCTCCTGAACATTGATAGGAATCCCAAAATCACTGTGGCTACAGGAAAGGGTTCTTGTGTGCCCTGCCTCACCTCGAGAAGCATCCCTTTTGCCCTGCCAAGGCTCGAAAAGATTCCTGAGGTGTCCCTCATTACTAGACAGGAGTCATGACGTCACTGAATAAACACGTGTTTTCAAGGGCCATGCCCGCCATAACTCGAGAACATACCCCACGTACCGCCGCGACTCGAGAAAAACCATGAGACTTCCCCTAGATGCGATATGAGGCCTGATTCCCTGCAGTCCATGCAGAGCATTCCCGTGATCCCAATCAAGCAAGTCAGCAGCTTCGAATTGCTTAATGGATCTCGAGACAGTCCCCAGGAACACTGTCACAAGTCTAGACAGACCCTGACATCACCCCAGCAAAGCAAAGCAGGTCCAAGTACCCCACATCACCTCGAGTTGAGGCCCGATTCCCATGCATTGACTCCAGAGCCATCCCCCGTTCCACATTAAACACGACCAGTAGCTTGACTTCCTTCAGGCAACTCCAGAGACGCCCTGAGAACACTGTCCCAAGTCTAGAGAAACACCATCTTCAGCACAGCAACTCGAGGAATGCTCCGTGTACCCCAAATCGTCTCGAGATGAGAGCTGATTCCCTGGCTTAGGTTCAAGACGTATGCCAACTTTCCAGAAGCACTTCAAGGGGAGACTTCTCTCAGCAATAGGTATGTTGGAGGGACCCCCAGTTTGCTGCCTCAAGAGGAATATACAGCGAAAAGCCCTAACTTGAAAGGAGGCCGGATTTCCTTGCAGTGTCTTGAATACAGGCTCGTCTTTCATCTCACAACCGGAAGGAATGTCTGAATCCTCTGTGGAGACCTTAGAGAAAGCCCTAGGTCCCTGCCTCATTTTGAAGGAATGTCTCACATCCCGTTGACACCTCGAGAGGCACACGGAGTTCACTGCTTCAAAATGTGATGATGCCTGACTCCTCTTGAATATTGATAGGAATCCCTAAATCACTGTAGCTACAGGACAGGGTTCTTGGGTGCCCTGCCTCACCTCGAGAAGCATCCCTTTTGCCTGCCAAGCCTCGAAGAGATTCCTGAGGTGTCTCTCGTTACTAGACAGGAGTCCTGACGTCACTGAATAAACACATGTTTTGAAGGGCCATCCCCGCCATAACTCAAGAACATACCCTAGGTCCCGCCGCAACTCGAGAAAAACCATGAGACTTCCCCTAGATGCGATATGAGGCCTGATTCCCTGCAGTCCATGCAGAGCATTCCCATGATCCCCATCAAGCAAGTCAGGAGCTTCGACTTCCTTAATCGAACTCGAGAAAGTCCCCAGGAACACTGTCACAAGACTAGACAGACCCTGAGGTCACCCCAGCAATGTAAAGCAGCTCCAAGTACCCCACATCAACTCGCGATGAGGCCCGATTCCCCTGCATTGACTCCAGAGCCATCCCACGTACCACATTAAACACCACCAGTGGCTTGACTTCCTTCAGGCAACTCCAGAGATGCCCTGAGAACACTGTCCCAAGTCTAGAGGAATACGAACTTCAGCACAGCAACTCGAGGAATGCTCCGTGTACCCCAAATCGTCTCGAGGTGAGAGCTGATTCCATGGCTTAGGCTCAAGACGTATGACAACTTTCCAGAAGCACCTCAAGAGGAGGCTTCTCTCAGCAGTAGGTATGTGGGAGGGACCCCGAGTTTGCTGCCTCAAGTGGAATATACAGTGAGAAGCCCTAACTTGAAAGGAGGACGGATTTCCTTGCAGTGGCTTGAATACAGGCTCGTCTTTCATCTCACAGCATGAGGGATGTCTGAAACCCCTGTGGAGACCTTAGACAAAGCTCTGGGTCCCTGCCTCATTTTGAGGGAATGCCTCACATCCCGTTGTCACCTCGAGAGGCACGCGGAGTTCACTGCTTCAAAAGGTGACGATGCCTGACTCGTCTTGAATATTGATAGGAATCAAAAAATCACTGTGGCTACTGGAAAGGGTCCTTGGGTGCCCTGCCTCACCTCGAGAAGCATACCTTTTGACCTGCCAAGCCTCGAAGAGATTCCTGAGGTTTCCCTTCTTACTAGACAGGAGTCCTAACGGCACTGAATAAACACGTGTTTTGAAGGGCCATCCCCGCCGTAACTCGAGAAGATACCCCAGGTCCCCAGCGCAACTTGAGAGAAACCATGAGACTTCCCCCAAGATGCGAGATGAGTCCTGATTCCCTGCAGTGCATGCAGGGTATTCCCGTGATCCCCATCAAACAAGTCAGGAGCTTCGACTTGCTTAATGGATCTCGAGACAGTCCCCAAGAACACTCTCACAAGTCTAGACGGACCCTGAGGTCACCCCAGCAACGTAAAGCAGCTCCATGTGCCCCAAATCAACCCGAAATGTGGCCCGATTCCCCTGCATTGACTCCAGAGCCATCCCCAGTTCCCCATTAAACAAGACCACTGGCTTGACTTCCTTCAGGCAACTCCAGAGATGCCCCGAGAACACTGTCCCAAGACTAGAGGAACACCAACTTCAGCACAGCAACTCGAGGAATGCTCCGTGTACCACAAATCGTTTCGAGGTGAGAGCTGATTCCCAGGCTTAGGCTCAAGACGTATACCAACTTTCCAGAAGCACCTCAAGAGGAGGCTTCTCTCAGCAATCGGTATGTGGGATGGAACCCGAGTTTGCTGCCTCAAGTGGAATATACAGTGAGAAGCCCTAACTTGAAAGGAGGCCGGATTTCCTGGCAGTGTGTTGAATACAGGCTCGTCTTTCATCTCACAACAGGGAGGGATGTCTGAATCCCCTGTGGAGACCTTAGAGAAAGCCCTAGGACCCTGCCTCATATTGACGGAATGTCTCACATCCCGTTGACACCTTGAGAGGCAAACGGAGTTCACTGCTTCAAAATGTGACGATGCCTGACTCCTCCTGAACATTGATAGGAATCCCAAAATCACTGTAGCTACAGGACAGAGTTCTTGGGTGCCCTGCCTCACCTCGAGAAGCATCCCTTTTGACCTGCCAAGCCTCGAAGAGATTCCTGAGGTGTCTCTTGTTACTAGACAGGAGTCCTGACATCACTGAATAAACACGTGTTTTGAAGGGCCATCCCCGCCGTAACTCGAGAACATACCCCAGTTCGCGCCGCAACTCGAGTAAAACCATGAGACTTCCCCTAGAGGCGAGATGAGGCCTGATTCCCTGCAGTCCATGAAGAGCATTCCCGTGATCCCTATCAAGCAAGTCAGGAGCTTCGACTTGCTTAGTTGAACTGGAGAAAGTCCCCAGGAACACTGTCACAAGTCTAGACAGACCCTGAGGTCACCCCAGCAATGCAAAGCAGCTGCAAGTACCCCACATCAACTCGAGATGAGGCCCGATTCCCATGCATTGACTCCAGAGCCATCCCCAGTTCCCCATTAAACAAGACCACTGGCTTGTCTTCCTTCAGACAACTCCAGAGACGCCCCGAGAACACTGTCCCAAGACTAGAGGAACACCAACTTCAGCACAGCAACTCAAGGAATGCCCCGTGTACCACAAATCGTCTCGAGATGAGAGCTGATTCCCTGGCTTAGGCTCAAGACGTATGCCAACTTTCCAGAAGCACCTCAAGGGGAGGCTTCGCTCAGCAATAGTTATGTTGGAGGGACCCCCAGTTTGCTGCCTCAAGTGGAATATGCAACGAGAAGCCCTAACTTGAAAGGAGGCCGGGTTTCCTTGCAGTGTCTTGAATACAGGCTCGTCTTTCATCTCACAACCGGAAGGATTGTCTGAATCCCCTGTGGAGACCTTAGCGAAAGCCCTAGGTCCCTGCCTCATTTTGACGGATTGCCTCACATCCCGTTGACACCTCGGGAGGCACACGGAGTTCACTGCTTCAAATGTGACGATGCCTTACCCCTCCTGATCATTGATAGGAATCCCAAAATCACTGTGGCTACAGGAAAGGGTTCTTGTGTGCCCTGCCTCACCTCGAGAAGCATCCCTTTTGCCCTGCCAAGGCTCGAAGAGATTCCTGAGGTGTCCCTCTTTACTAGACAGGAGTCATGACGTCACTGAATAAACACGTGTTTTCAAGGGCCATGCCCGCCATAACTCGAGAACATACCCCAGGTCCCGCCGCAACTCGAGAAAAACCATGAGACTTCCCCTAGATGCGAGATGAGGCCTGATTCCCTGCAGTCCATGCAGAGCATTCCCGTGATCCCAATCAAGCAAGTCAGCAGCTTCGAATTTCTTAATGGATCTCGAGATTGTCCCCAGGAACAGTGTCACAAGTCTAGACAGAACCTGACATCACCCCAGCAACGCAAAGCAGCACCAAGTACCCCATATCAACTCGCGTTGAGGCCCGATTCCCATGCATTGACTCCAGAGCCATCCCCCGTACCCCATTAAACACCAACAGTGGCTTGACTTCCTTCAGGCAAATCCAGAGATGCCCCGAGAACACTGTCCCAAGTCTAGAGGAATACGAACTTCAGCACAGCAACTCGAGGAATGCTCTGTGTACCCCAAATCGTTTCGAGGTGAGAGCTGATTCCATGGCTTAGGCTCAAGACGTATGCCAACTTTCCAGAAGCCCCTCAAGAGGAGGATTCTCTCAGCAATAGGTATGTTGGAGGGACCCCCACTTTGCTGCCTCAAGTGGAATATACAGCAAGAAGCCCTAACTTGAAAGGAGGCCGGATTTCCGTGCAGTGTCTTGAATACAGGCTCGTCTTTCATCTCACAACCGGAAGGGATGTCTGAATCCCCTGTGGAGAACTTAGAGAAAGCCCTAGGTCCCTGCCTCATTTTGACGGATTGCCTCACATCCCGTTGACACCTCGAGAGGCACGCGGAGTTCACTGCTTCAAAAGGTGATGATGCCTGACTCGTCTTGAATATTGATAGGAATCCCAAAATCCCTGTGGCTATTTGAAAGGTTCCTTGGGTGTCCTGCCTCACCTCGAGAAGCGTCCCTTTTGCCCTGCCAAGCCTCGAAGAGATTCCTGAGCTGTCCCTCGTTACTGGACAGGAGTCCTGACGTCACTGAATAAACAGGAGTTTTTAAGGGCCATCTCTGCTGTAACCCGAGTACATACCCCAGGTCCCCACCGCAAGTCGAGAAAAACCATGAGACTTTCCCCTAGTGGCGAGATGAGGCCCGATTCTCCTGCAGTGCATGCAGAGCAATTCCGTGATCCCCATCAAACAAGTCAGGACCTTCGACTTGCTTAATGGATCTCGAGACAGTCACCAAGAATACTGTCACATGTCTAGACGGATCCTGAGGTCACCCCATCAACGCAAAGCAGCACCATGTGCCCCACATCAACTCGAGATAATGCCCGATTCCCCTGCATTGACTCCAGAGCCATCCCCCGTTCCACATTAAACACCACCAGTGGCTTGACTTCCTTCAGACAACTCCAGAGATGCCCTGAGAACACTGTCCCAAGTCTAGAGGAACACCATCTTCAGCACAGCAACTCGAGGAATGCTCCGTGTACCCCAAATCGTCTCGAGATGAGAGCTGATTCCCTGGCTTAGGCTCAAGACGTATGCCAACTTTCCAGAAGCACCTCAAGGGGAGGCTTCTCTCAGCAATAGGTATGTTGGAGGGACCCCCAGTTTGCTGCCTCAAGTGGAATATGCAGCGAGAAGCCCTAACTTGAAAGGAGGCCGGGTTTCCTTCCAGTGTCTTGAATACAGGCTCGTCTTTCATCTCACAACGGGAAGGAATGTCTGAATCCCCTGTGGAGACCTTAGCGAAAGCCCTAGGTCCCTGCCTCATTTTGACGGATTGCCTCACATCCCGTTGACACCTCGAGAGGCACCCGGAGTTCACTGCTTCAAATGTGACGATGCCTGACTCCTCCCGAACATTGATAGGAATCCCAAAATCACTGTGGCTACAGGAAAGGGTTCTTGTGTGCCCTGCCTCACCTCGAGAAGCATCCCTTTTGCCCTGCCAAGGCTCGAAAAGATTCCTGAGGTGTCCCTCATTACTAGACAGGAGTCATGACGTCACTGAATAAACACGTGTTTTCAAGGGCCAAGCCCGCCATAACTCGAGAACATACCCCACGTACCGCCGCGACTCGAGAAAAATCATGAGACTTCCCCTAGATGCGATATGAGGCCTGATTCCCTGCAGTCCATGCAGAGCATTCCCGTGATCCCAATCAAGCAAGTCAGCAGCTTCGAATTGCTTAATGGATCTCGAGAGAGTCCCCAGGAACACTGTCACAAGTCTAGACAGACCCTGACATCACCCCAGCAAAGCAAAGCAGGTCCAAGTACCCCACATCACCTCGAGTTGAGGCCCGATTCCCATGCCTTGACTCCAGAGCCATCCCCCGTACCCCATTAAACACCACCAGTGGCTTGACTTCCTTCAGGCAAATCCAGAGATGCCCCGAGAACACTGTCCCAAGTCTAGAGGAATACGAACTTCAGCACAGCAACTCGAGGAATGCTCCGTGTAGCCCAAATCGTTTCGAGGTGAGAGCTGATTCCATGGCTTAGGCTCAAGACGTATGCCAACTTTCCAGAAGCCCCTCAAGAGGAGGCTTCTCTCAGCAATAGGTATGTGGGAGGGACCCCGGATTTGCTGCCTCAAGTGGAATATACAGCGAGAAGCCATAACTTGAAAGGAGGCCGGATTTCCTTGCAGTGGCTTGAATACAGGCTCGTCTTTCATCTCACAGCATGAAGGGATGTCTGAAACCCCTGTGGAGACCTTAGAGAAAGCTCTAGGTCCCTGCCTCATTTTGACGGAATGCCTCACATCCCGTTGACACTTCGAGAGGCACGCGGAATTCACTGCTTCAAAAGGTGATGATGCCTGACTCGTCTTGAATATTGATAGGAATCCCAAAATCCCTGTGGCTATTTGAAAGGTTCCTTGGGTGTCCTGCCTCACCTCGAGAAGCGTCCCTTGTGCCTGCCAAGCCTCGAAGAGATTCCTGAGCTGTCCCTCGTTACTGGACAGGAGTCCTGACGTCACTGAATAAACAGGAGTTTTTAAGGGCCATCCCCGCTGTAACCCGAGTACATACCCCAGGTCCCCGCCGCAAGTCGAGAAAAACCATGAGACTTTCCCCTAGTGGCGAGATGAGGCCCGATTCTCCTGCAGTGCCTGCAGAGCAATTCCGTGATCCCCATCAAACAAGTCAGGACCTTCGACTTGCTTAATGGATCTCGAGACAGTCCCCAAGAATACTGTCACATGTCTAGACGGATCCTGAGGTCACCCCATCAATGCAAAGCAGCACCATGTGCCCCACATCAACTCGAGATAATGCCCGATTCCCCTGCATTGACTCCAGAGCCATCCCCCGTTCCACATTAAACACCACCAGTGGCTTGACTTCCTTCAGACAACTCCAGAGATGCCCTGAGAACACTGTCCCAAGTCTAGAGGAACACCATCTTCAGCACAGCAACTCGAGGAATGCTCCGTGTACCCCAAATCGTCTCGAGATGAGAGCTGATTCCCTCGCTTAGGCTCAAGACGTATGCCAACTTTCCAGAAGCACCTCAAGGGGAGGCTTCTCTCAGCAATAGGTATGTTGGAGGGACCCCCAGTTTGCTGCCTCAAGTGGAATATGCAGCGAGAAGCCCTAACTTGAAAGGAGGCCGGGTTTCCTTGCAGTGTCTTGAATACAGGCTCGTCTTTCATCTCACAACGGGAAGGAATGTCTGAATCCCCTGTGGAGACCTTAGCGAAAGCCCTAGGTCCCTGTCTCATTTTGACGGATTGCCTCACATCCCGTTGACACCTCGAGAGGCACACGGAGTTCACTGCTTCAAATGTGACGATGCCTGACTCCTCCTGAACATTGATAGGAATCCCAAAATCACTGTGGCTACAGGAAAGGGTTCTTGTGTGCCCTGCCTCACCTCGAGAAGCATCCCTTTTGTCCTGCCAAGGCTCGAAAAGATTCCTGAGGTGTCCCTCATTACTAGACAGGAGTCATGACGTCACTGAATAAACACGTGTTTTCAAGGGCCAAGCCCGCCATAACTCGAGAACATACCCCACGTACCGCCGCGACTCGAGAAAAACCATGAGACTTCCCCTAGATGCGATATGAGGCCTGATTCCCTGCAGTCCATGCAGAGCATTCCCGTGATCCGAATCAAGCAAGTCAGCAGCTTCGAATTGCTTAATGGATCTCGAGAGAGTCCCCAGGAACACTGTCACAAGTCTAGACAGACCCTGACATCACCCCAGCAAAGCAAAGCAGGTCCAAGTACCCCACATCACCTCGAGTTGAGGCCCGATTCCCATGCATTGACTCCAGAGCCATCCCCCGTACCCCATTAAACACCACCAGTGGCTTGACTTCCTTCAGGCAACTCCAGAGATGCCCCGAGAACACTGTCCCAAGTCTAGAGGAATACGAACTTCAGCACAGCAACTCGAGGAATGCTCCGTGTACCCCAAATCATTTCGAGGTGAGAGCTGATTCCATGGCTTAGGCACAAGACGTATGCCAACTTTCCAGAAGCACCTCAAGCGGAGGATTCTCTCAGCGATAGATATGTTGGAGGGACCCCCACTTTGCTGCCTCAAGTGGAATATACAGCGAGAAGCCCTAACTTGAAAGGAGGCCGGGTTTCCTTGCAGTGTCTTGAATACAGGCTCGTCTTTCATCTCACAACGGGAAGGAATGTCTGAATCCCCTGTGGAGACCTTAGCGAAAGCCCTAGGTCCCTGCCTCATTTTGACGGATTGCCTCACATCCCGTTGACACCTCGAGAGGCACACGGAGTTCACTGCTTCAAATGTGACGATGCCTGACTCCTCCTGAACATTGATAGGAATCCCAAAATCACTGTGGCTACAGGAAAGGGTTCTTGTGTGCCCTGCCTCACCTCGAGAAGCATCCCTTTTGTCCTGCCAAGGCTCGAAAAGATTCCTGAGGTGTCCCTCATTACTAGACAGGAGTCATGACGTCACTGAATAAACACGTGTTTTCAAGGGCCAAGCCCGCCATAACTCGAGAACATACCCCACGTACCGCCGCGACTCGAGAAAAACCATGAGACTTCCCCTAGATGCGATATGAGGCCTGATTCCCTGCAGTCCATGCAGAGCATTCCCGTGATCCGAATCAAGCAAGTCAGCAGCTTCGAATTGCTTAATGGATCTCGAGAGAGTCCCCAGGAACACTGTCACAAGTCTAGACAGACCCTGACATCACCCCAGCAAAGCAAAGCAGGTCCAAGTACCCCACATCACCTCGAGTTGAGGCCCGATTCCCATGCATTGACTCCAGAGCGATCCCCCGTACCCCATTAAACACCAACAGTGGCTTGACTTCCTTCAGGCAACTCCAGAGATGCCCCGAGAACACTGTCCCAAGTCTAGAGGAATACGAACTTCAGCACAGCAACTCGAGGAATGCTCCGTGTACCCCAAATCGTTTCGAGGTGAGAGCTGATTCCATGGCTTAGGCACAAGACGTATGCCAACTTTCCAGAAGCACCTCAAGCGGAGGATTCTCTCAGCGATAGATATGTTGGAGGGACCCCCACTTTGCTGCCTCAAGTGGAATATACAGCTAGAAGCCCTAACTTGAAAGGAGGCCGGGTTTCCTTGCAGTGTCTTGAATACAGGCTCGTCTTTCATCTCACAACGGGAAGGAATGTCTGAATCCCCTGTGGAGACCTTAGCGAAAGCCCTAGGTCCCTGCCTCATTTTGACGGATTGCCTCACATCCCGTTGACACCTCGAGAGGCAACCGGAGTTCACTGCTTCAAATGTGACGATGCCTGACTCCTCCTGAACATTGATAGGAATCTCAAAATCACTGTGGCTACAGGAAAGGGTTCTTGTGTGCCCTGCCTCACCTCGAGAAGCATCCCTTTTGCCCTGCCAAGGCTCGAAAAGATTCCTGAGGTGTCCCTCATTACTAGACAGGAGTCATGACTTCACTGAATAAACACGTGTTTTCAAGGGCCAAGCCCGCCATAACTCGAGAACATACCCCACGTACCGCCGCGACTCGAGAAAAACCATGAGACTTCCCCTAGATGCGATATGAGGCCTGATTCCCTGCAGTCCATGCAGAGCATTCCTGTGATCCCAATTAAGCAAGTCAGCAGCTTCGAATTGCTTAATGGATCTCGAGAGAGTCCCCAGGAACACTGTCACAAGTCTAGACAGACCCTGACATCACCCCAGCAAAGCAAAGCAGGTCCAAGTACCCCACATCACCTCGAGTTGAGGCCCGATTCCCATGCATTGACTCCAGAGCCATCCCCCGTACCCCATTAAACACCACCAGTGGCTTGACTTCCTTCAGGCAACTCCAGAGATGCCCCGAGAACACTGTCCCAAGTCTAGAGGAATACGAACTTCAGCACAGCAACTCGAGGAATGCTCCGTGTACCCCAAATCGTTTCGAGGTGAGAGCTGATTCCATGGCTTAGGCTCAAGACGTATGCCAACTTTCCAGAAGCACCTCAAGCGGAGGATTCTCTCAGCAATAGATATGTTGGAGGGACCCCCACTTTGCTGCCACAATTGGAATATACAGCAAGAAGCCCTAACTTGAAAGGAGGCCGGATTTCCTTGCAGTGTCATGAATACAGGCTCGTCTTTCATCTCACAACTGGAAGGGATGTCTGAATCCCCTGTGTAGAACTTAGAGAAAGCCCTAGGTCCCTGACTCATTTTGACGGATTGCTTCACATCCCGTTGACACCTCGAAAGGCACGCGGAGTTCACTGCTCCAAAAGGTGATGATGCCTGACTCGTCTTGAATATTGATAGGAATCCCAAAATCCCTGTGGCTATTTGAAAGGTTCCTTGGGTGTCCTGCCTCACCTCGAAAAGCGTCCCTTGTGCCTGCCAAGCCTCGAAGAGATTCCTGAGCTGTCCATCGTTACTGGACAGGAGTCCTGACGTCACTGAATAAACAGGAGTTTTTAAGGGCCATCCCCGCTGTAACCCGAGTACATACCCCAGGTCCCTGCCGCAAGTCGAGAAAAACCATGAGACTTTCCCCTAGTGGCGAGATGAGGCCCGATTCTCCTGCAGTGCATGCAGAGCAATTCCGTGATCCCCATTAAGCAAGTCAGGAGCTTCGACTTGCTTAATGGATCTCCAGAGAGTCCCCAGGAACACTGTCACAAGTCTAGACAGACCCTGAGGTCACCCCAGCAATGCAAAGCAGCTCCAATTGCCCCACATCAACTCGAGATGAGGCCCGATTCTCCGGTATTGACTCAAGAGCCATCCCCCGTACCCCATTAAACACCAACACTGGCTTGACTTCATTCAGGCAACTCCAGAGATGCCCCAAGAACACTGTTCCAAGTCTAGAGGAACACCAAGTTCAGCACAGCAACTCGAGGAATGCTCCGTGTACCCCAAATCGTTCCGAGGTGAGAGCTGATTCCCTGGCTTAGGCTCAAGACGTATAACAACTTTCCAGAAGCACCTCAAGAGGAGGCTTCTCTCAGCAATCGGTATGTGGGAGGGAACCCAAGATTGCTGCCTCAATTGGAATATACAGTGAGAAGCCCTAACTTGAAAGGAGGCCGGATTTCCTGGCAGTGTGTTGAATACAGGCTCGTCTTTCATCTCACAACAGGAAGGGATGTCTGAATCCCCTGTGGAGACCTTAGAGAAAGCCCTAGGTCCCTGCCTCATTTTGACGGAATGTCTCACATCCCGTTGACACCTCGAGAGGCACACGGAGTTCACTGCTTCAAAATGTGACGATGCCTGACTCCTCCTGAACATTGATAGGAATCCCAAAATCACTGTAGCTACAGGACAGGGTTCTTTGGTGCCCTGCCTCACCTCGAGAAGCATCCCTTTTGCCCTGCCAAGCCTCGAAGAGATTCCTGAGGTGTCTCTCGTTACCAGACAGGAGTCCTGACGTCACTGAATAAACACGTGTTTTGAAGGGCCATCCCCGCCGTAACTCGAGAACATACCCCAGTTCGCGCCGCAACTCGAGTAAAACCATGAGATTTCCCCTAGAGGCGAGATGAGGCCTGATTCTCTGCAGTCCATGAAGAGCATTCGCGTGATCCCCATCAAGCAAGTCAGGAGCTTCGACTTGCTTAATTGAACTCGAGAAAGTCCCCAGGAACACTGTCACAAGTCTAGACAGACCCTGAGGTCACCCCAGCAATGCAAAGCAGCTGCAAGTACCCCACATCAACTCGAGATGAGGCCCGATTCCCATGCATTGACTCCAGAGCCATCCCCACTTCCCCATTAAACAAGACCACTGGCTTGTCTTCCTTCAGACAACTCCAGAGATGCCCCGAGAACACTGTGCCAAGACTAGAGGAACACCAACTTCAGCACAGCAACTCGAGGAATGCCCCGTGTACCACAAATCGTCTCGAGATGAGAGCTGATTCCCTAGCTTAGGCTCAAGACGTATGCCAACTTTCCAGAAGCACCTCAAGAGGAGGCTTCTCTCAGCAATAGGTATGTTCGTGGGACCCCGAGTTTGCTGCCTAAAGTGGAATATACAGCGAGAAGCCCTAACTTGAATGGAGGCCGGATTTCCTTGCAGTGTCTTGTATACAGGCTCGTCTTTCATCTCACAACAGGAAGGGATGTCTGAATCCCCTGTAAAGACCTTTGAGAAAGCCCTAGGTCCCTGCCTCATTGTGACGGAATGCCTCACATCCCGTTGACACCACGAGAGGCACGCGGAGTTCACTGTTTCAAAAGGTGAGGATGCCTGACTCCTCTTGAATATTGATAGGAATCCCAAAATCCCTGTGGCTATTGGAAAGGTTCCTTGGGTGCCCTGCCTCATCTCGAGAAGCGTCCTTGTTCCCCGGCAAGCCTCGAAGAGATTCCTGAGCTGTCCCTCGTTACTGGACAGGAGTCCTGACGTCACTGAATAAACACGTGTTTTGAAGGGCCATCGCCGCCGTAACTCGAGTATATACCCCAGGTCCCCGCCGCAACTCGAGAAAAACCATGAGACTTCCGCCTAGAGGCGAGATGAGGCCCGATTCTCCTGCAGTGCATGCAGAGCAATTCCGTGATCCCCATCAAACAAGTCAGGAGCTTCGACTTGCTTAAAGGATCTCGAGACATTCCCCAAGAACACTGTCACATGTCTAGATGGACCCTGAGGTATCCCCAGCAACGCAAAGCAGCTCCATGTGCCCCAAATCAACTTGAGATGAGGTCCGATTCCCCTGCATTGACTCCAGAGCCATCTGCGTTCCACATTAAACACCACCAGTGGCTTGACCTCCTTCAGACAACTCCAGAGATGCCCCGAGAACACTGTCCCAAGTCTAGAGGAACACCTACTTTAGCACAGCAACTCGAGGAATGCTTCCTGAATGCCAAATCTTCTCGAGTTGAGAGCTGATTCCCTGGCTTAGGCTCAAGACGTATGCCAACTTTCCAGAAGCACCTCAAGAGGAGGCTTCTCTCAGCAATAGGTATGTGGGAGGGAACCCGAGTTTGCTGCCTCAAATGGAATATAAAGCGAGAAGCACTAACTAGAATGGAGGCCGATTTCCTAGCAGTGTCTTGAATACAGGCTCGTCTTTCATCTCACAGCATGAAGGGATGTCTGAAACCCCTGTGGAGACCTTAGAGAAAGCTCTAGGTCCCTGCCTCATTTTGAGGGAATGCCTCACATCCCGTTGTCACCTCGAGAGGCACGCGGAGTTCACTGCTTCAAAAGGTGACGATGCCTGACTCGTCTTGAATATTGATAGGAATCAAAAAATCACTGTGGCTACTGGAAAGGGTCCTTGGGTGCCCTGCCTCACCTCGAGAAGCATACCTTTTGACCTGCCAAGCCTCGAAGAGATTCCTGAGGTTTCCCTTGTTACTAGACAGGAGTCCTGACGGCACTGAATAAACATGTGTTTTGAAGGGCCATCCCCACCGTAACTCGAGAAGATACCCCAGGTCCCCAGCGCAACTTGAGAGAAACCATGAGACTTCCCCCAAGATGCGAGATGAGTCCTGATTCCCTGCAGTGCATGCAGGGTATTCCCGTGATCCCCATCAAACAAGTCAGGAGCTTCGACTTGCTTAATGGATCTCGAGACAGTCCCCAAGAACACTGTCACAAGTCTAGACGGAACCTGAGGTCACCCCAGCAACGTAAAGCAGCTCCATGTGCCCCAAATCAACCCGAAATGTTGCCCGATTCCCCTGCATTGACTCCAGAGCCATCCCCAGTTCCCCATTAAACAAGACCACTGGCTTGACTTCCTTAAGGCAACTCCAGAGATGCCCCGAGAACACTGTCCCAAGACTAGAGGAACACCAACTTCAGCACAGCAACTTGAGGAATGCTCCGTGTACCACAAATCGTCTCGAGATGAGAGCTGAATCGCTGGCTTAGGCTCAAGACGTATGCCAACTTTCCAGAAGCACCTCAAGAGGAGGCTTCTCTCAGCAATAGGTATGTTCGAGGGACCCCGAGTCTGCTGCCTCAAGTGGAATATATAGCGAGAAGCCCTAAATTGAAAGGAGGCCGGATTTCCTTGCAGTGGCTTGAATACAGGATCGTCTTTCATCTCACAGCATGAAGGGATGTCTGAATCCCCTGTGGAGACGTTAGAGACAGCTCTAGGTCCCTGCCTCATTTTGACGGAATGCCTCACATCCCGTTGTCACCTCGAGAGTCACGCGGAGTTCACTGCTTCAAAAGGTGACGATGCCTGACTCCTCTAAAATATTGATAGGAATCACAAAATCCCTGTGGCTATTGGAAAGGTTCCTTGGGTGCCCTGCCTCACCTCGAGAAGCGTCCCTTGTGCCTGCCAAGCCTCGAAGAGATTCCTGAGCTGTACCTCGTTACTGGACAGGAGTCCTGACGTCACTGAATAAACACGAGTTTTTAAGGGCCATCCCCGCCGTAACCCGAGTACATACCCCAGGTCCCCGTCGCAAGTCGAAAAAAACCATGAGACTTTCCCCTCGTGGCGAGATGAGGCCCGATTCTCCTGCAGTGCATGCAGAGCAATTCCGTGACCCCATCAAACAAGTCAGGACCTTCGACTTGCTTAATGGATCTCGAGACAGTCCCCAAGAATACTGTCACATGTCTAGACGGATCCTGCGGTCACCCCATCAACGCAAAGCAGCACCATGTGCCCCACATCAACTCGAGATGATGCCCGAATCCCCTGCATTGACTCAGAGCCATCCCACGTTCCACATTAAACACCACCAGTGGCTTGACTTCCTTCAGACAACTCCAGAGATGCCCTGAGAACACTGTCCCAAGTCTAGAGGAACACCATCTTCAGCACAGCAACTCGAGGAATGCTCCGTGTACCCCAAATCGTCTCGAGATGAGAGCTGTTTCCCTGGCTTAGGCTAAAGACGTATAACAACTTTCCAGAAGCACCTCAAGAGGAGGCTTCTCTCAGCAATCGGTATGTGGGAGGGAACCCAAGTTTGCTGCCTCAAGTGGAATATACAGTGAGAAGCCCTAACTTGAAAGGAGGCCGGATTTCCTGGCAGTGTGTTGAATACAGGCTCGTCTTTCATCTCACAACAGGAAGGGATGTCTGAATCCCCTGTGGAGACCTTAGAGAAAGCCCTAGGTCCCTGCCTCATTTTGACAGAATGTCTCACATCCCGTTGACACCTCGAGAGGCACACGGAGTTCACTGCTTCAAAATGTGACGATGCCTGACTCCTCCTGAACATTGATAGGAATCCCAAAATCACTGTGGCTACAGGACAGGGTTCTTTGGTGCCCTGCCTCACCTCGAGAAGCATCCCTTTTGCCCTGCCAAGCCTCGAAGAGATTCCTGAGGTGTCTCTCGTTACTAGACAGGAGTCCTGACGTCACTGAATAAACACGTGTTTTGAAGGGCCATCCCCGCCGTAACTCGAGAACATACCCCAGTTCGCGCCGCAACTCGAGTAAAACCATGAGATTTCCCCTAGAGGCGAGATGAGGCCTGATTCCCTGCAGTCCATGCAGAGCATTCGCGTGATCCCCATCAAGCAAGTCAGGAGCTTCGACTTGCTTAATTGAACTCGAGAAAGTCCCCAGGAACACTGTCACAAGTCTAGACAGACCCTGAGGTCACCCCAGCAATGCAAAGCAGCTGCAAGTACCCCACATCAACTCGAGATGAGGTCCGATTCCCATGCATTGACTCCAGAGCCATCCCCAGTTCCCCATTAAACAAGACCACTAGCTTGTCTTCCTTCAGACAACTCCAGAGATGCCCCGAGAACACTGTCCCAAGACTAGAGGAACACCAATTTCAGCACAGCAAATCGAGGAATGCCCCGTGTACCACAAATCATCTCGAGATGAGAGCTGATTCCCTGGCTTAGGCTCAAGACGTATGCCAACTTTCCAGAAGCACCTCAAGAGGAGGCTTCTCTCAGCAATAGGTATGTTCGTGGGACCCCGAGTTTGCTGCCTAAAGTGGAATATACAGCGAGAAGCCCTAACTTGAATGGAGGCCGGCTTTCCTTGCAGTGTCTTGTATACAGGCTCGTCTTTCATCTCACAACAGGAAGGGATGTCTGAATCCCCTGTGAAGACCTTTGAGAAAGCCCTAGGTCCCTGCCTCATTGTGACGGAATGCCTCACATCCCGTTGACACCACGAGAGGCACTCGGAGTTCACTGCTTCAAAAGGTGACGATGCCTGACTCCTCTTGAATATTGATAGCAATCCCAAAATCCCTGTGGCTATTGGAAAGGTTCCTTGGGTGCCCTGCCTCATCTCTAGAAGCGTCCCTTGTGCCCCGGCAAGCCTCGAAGAGATTCCTGAGCTGTCCCTCGTTACTGGACAGGAGTCCTGACGTCACTGAATAAACACGTGTTTTGAAGGGCCATCCCCGCCGTAACTCGAGTACATACCCCAGTTCCCCGCCGCAACTCGAGAAAAACCATGAGACTTCCGCCTAGAGGCGAGATGAGGCCCGATTCTCCTGCAGTGCATGCAGAGCAATTCCGTGATCCCCATCAAACAAGTCAGAAGCTTCGACTTGCTTAATGGATCTCGAGACAGTCCCCAAGAACACTGTCACATGTCTAGACGGATCCTGAGGTCACCCCATCAAGGCAAAGCAGCACCATGTGCCCCAAATCAACTCGAGATAATGCCCGATTCCCCTGCATTGACTCCAGAGCCATCCCCCGTTCCACATTAAACACGACCAGTGGCTTGACTTCCTTCAGGCAACTCCAGAGACGCCCTGAGAACACTGTCCCAAGTCTAGAGGAACACCATCTTCAGCACAGCAACTCGAGGAATGCTCCGTGTACCCCAAATCGTCTCGAGATGAGAGCTGATTCCCTGGCTTAGGCTCAAGACATATGCCAACTTTCCAGAAGCACCTCAAGGGGAGGCTTCTCTTAGCAATAGGTATGTTGGAGGGACCCCCAGTTTGCTGCCTCAAAAGGAATATACAGCGAGAAGCCCTAACTTGAAAGGAGGCCGGATTTCCTTGCAGTGTCTTGAATACAGGCTCGTCTTTCATCTCACAACCGGAAGGAATGTCTGAATCGCCTGTGGAGACCTTAGAGAAAGCGCTAGGTCCCTGCCTCATTTTGAAGGAATGTCTCACATCCCGTTGACACCTCGAGAGGCACACAGAGTTCACTGCTTCAAAATGTGATGATGCCTGACCCCTCTTGAACATTGATAGGAATCCCAAAATCACTTTAGCTACAGGGCAGGGTTCTTGTGTGCCCTGCCTCACCTCGAGAAGCATCCCTTTGCCTGCCAAGCCTCGAAGAGATTCCTGAGGTGTCTCTCGTTACTAGACAGGAGTCCTGACGTCACTGAATAAACACGTGTTTTGAAGGGCCATCCCCGCCGTAACTCGAGAACATACCCCAGGTCCCGCCGCAACTCGAGTAAAACCATGAGACATCCCCTAGATGCGAGATGAGGCCTGATTCCCTGCAGTCCATGCAGAGCATTCCCATGATCCCCATCAAGCAAGTCAGGAGCTTCGACTTGCTTAATCGAACTCGAGAAAGTCCCTAGGAACACTGTCACAAGTCTAGACAGACCCTGAGGTCACCCCAGCAATGTAAAGCAGCTCCAAGTACCCCACATCAACCCGCGATGAGGCCCGATTCCCCTGCATTGACTCCAGAGCCATCCCCCGTACCACATTAAACACCAAAAGTGGTTTGACTTCCTTCAGGCAACTCCAGAGATGCCCTGAGAACACTGTCCCAAGTCTAGAGGAATACGAACTTCAGCACAGCAACTCGAAGAATGCTCCGTGTACCACAAATTGTTTCGAGGTGAGAGCTGCTTCCATGGCTTAGGCTCAAGACGTATGCCAACTTTTCAGAAGCACCTCAAGAGGAGGCTTCTCTCAGCAGTAGTTATGTGGGAGGAACCCCGAGTTTGCTGCCTCAAGTGGAATATACACGAGAAGCCCTAACTTGAAAGGAGGACGGATTTCCTTGCAGTGGCTTGAATACAGGCTCGTCTTTCATCTCACAGCATGAAGGGATGTCTGAATCCCCTGTGGAGACCTTAGAGAAATCTCTAGGTCACTGCCTCATTTTGAGGGAATGCCTCACATCCCGTTGTCACCTCGAGAGGCACGCGGAGTTCAGTGCTTCAAAAGGTGACGATGCCTGACTCCTCTTGAATATTGATAGGAATCCCAAAATCCATGTGGCTATTGGAAAGGTTCCTTGGGTGCCCTGCCTCACCTCGAGAAGCGTCCCTTGTGCACTGCCAAGCCTCGAAGAGATTCCTGAGCTGCCCCTCGTTACTGGACAGGAGTCCTGACGTCTCTGAATAAACACGAGATTTGAAGGCCATCCCCGTCGTAACCCGAGTACATACCCCAGGTCCCCGCCGCAAGTCGAGAAAAACCATGAGACTTTCCCCTATAGGCGAGATGAGGCCCGATTCTCCTGCAGTGCATGCAGAGCAATTCCGTGATCCCCATCAAACAAGTCAGGACCTTCGACTTGCTTAATGGATCTCGAGACAGTCCACAAGAATACTGTCACATGTCTAGACGGATCCTGAGGTCACCCCATCAACGCAAAGCAGCACAATGTGCCCCAAATCAACTCGGGATGATGGCAGATTCCCCTGCATTGACCCTAGAGCTATCACCCGTTCCACATTAAACACGACCAGTGGCTTGACTTCCTTCAGGCAATTCCAGAGATGCCCGGAGAACACTGTCCCAAGTCTAGAGGAACACCAACTTCAGCACAGCAACTCGAGGAATGCGCCGTGTACCCCAAATCGTCTCGAGATGAGAGCTGATTCCCTGGCTTAGGTTCACGACATATGCCAATTTCCAGAAGCACCTCAAGTGGAGGATTCTCTCAGCAATAGGTATGTTGGAGGGACCTCCACTTTGCTGCCTCAAGTGGAATATACAGCGAGAAGCCCTACCTTGAAAGGAGTCCGGATTTACTTGCAGTGTCTTGAATACAGGCTCGTCTTTCATCTCACAACAGGAAGGGATGTCTGAATCCCCTGTGGAGACCTTAGAGAAAGCCCTAGGTCCCTGCCTCATTTTGACGGAATGCCTCACATCCCGTTGACACCTCGAGAGGCACACGGAGTTCACTGCTTCAAAATGTGACGATGCCTGTCTCCTCCTGAATATTGATAGGAATCCCAAAATCACTGTGGCTACAGGAAAGGGTTCTTGTGTGCCCTGCCTCACCTCGAAAAGCATCCCTTTTGCCCTGCCAAGCCTCGAAGAGATTCCTGATGTGTCCCTCGTTACTAGAAAGGAGAACTGACGTCACTGAATAAACACGTGTTTTGAAGGGCCATCCCGGCAATAACTCAAGAAAATATCCCAGGTCCCGCCGCAACTCGAGAAAAACCATGAGACTTCCCCTAGATGCGAGATGACGTCTGATTCCCTGCAGTCCATGCAGAGCAGTCCCGTGATCCCCATCAAGCAAGTCAGGAGCTTCGACTTGCTTAATGGATCTCCAGAGAGTCCCCAGGAACACTGTCACAAGTCTAGACAGACCCTGAGGTCACCCCAGCAATGCAAAGCAGCTCCAAGTGCCCCACATCAACTCGAGATGAGGCCCGATTCTCCGGTATTGACTCAAGAGCCATCCCCCGTACCGCATTAAACACCAACACTGGCCTGACTTCATTCAGTCAACTCCAGAGATGCCCCAAGAACACTGTTCCAAGTCTAGAGGAACACCAACTTCAGCACAGCAACTCGAGTAATGCTCCGTGTACCCCAAATCGTTCCGAGGTGAGAGCTGATTCCCTTGCTTAGGCTCAAGACGTATAACAACTTTCCAGAAGCACCTCAAGAGGAGGCTTCTCTCAGCAATCGGTATGTGGGAGGGAACCCGAGTTTGCTGCCTCAAGTGGAATATACAGTGAGAAGCCCTAACTTGAAAGGAGGCCGGATTTCCTGGCAGTGTGTTGAATACAGGCTCGTCTTTCATCTCACAACAGGAAGGGATGTCTGAATCCCCTGTGGAGACCTTAGAGAAAGCCCTAGGTCCCTGCCTCATTTTGACGGAATGTCTCACATCCCGTTGACACCTCGAGAGGCACACGGAGTTCACTGCTTCAAAATGTGACGATGCCTGACTCCTCCTGAACATTGATAGGAATCCCAAAATCACTGTAGCTACAGGACAGGGTACTTTGGTGCCCTGCCTCACCTCGAGAAGCATCCCTTTTGCCCTGCCAAGCCTCGAAGAGATTCCTGAGGTGTCTCTCGTTACTAGACAGGAGTCCTGACGTCACTGAATAAACACGTGTTTTGAAGGGCCATCCCCGCCGTAACTCGAGAACATACCCCAGTTCGCGCCGCAACTCGAGTAAAACCATGAGATTTCCCCTAGAGGCGAGATGAGGCCTGATTCCCTGAAGTCCATGAAGAGCATTCGCGTGATCCCCATCAAGCAAGTCAGGAGCTTCGACTTGCTTAATTGAACTCGAGAAAGTCCCCAGGAACACTGTCACAAGTCTAGACAGACCCTGAGGTCACCCCAGCAATGCAAAGCAGCTGCAAGTACCCCACATCAACTCGAGATGAGGCCCGATTCCCATGCATTGACTCCAGAGCCATCCCCAGTTCCCCATTAAACAAGACCACTGGCTTGTCTTCCTTCAGACAACTCCAGAGATGCCCCGAGAACACTGTCCCAAGACTAGAGGAACACCAACTTCAGCACAGCAACTCGATGAATGCCCCGTGTACCACAAATCGTCTCGAGATGAGAGCTGATTCCCTGGCTTAGGCTCAAGACGTATGCCAACTTTCCAGAAGCACCTCAAGAGGAGGCTTCTCTCAGCAATAGGTATGTTCGTGGGACCCCGAGTTTGCTGCCTCAAGTGGAATATACAGCGAGAAGCCCTAACTTGAATGGAGGCCGGATTTCCTTGCAGTGTCTTGTATACAGGCTCGTCTTTCATCTCACAACAGGAAGGGATGTCTGAATCCCCTGTGAAGACCTTTGAGAAAGCCCTAGGTCCCTGCCTCATTGTGACGGAATGCCTCACATCCCGTTGACACCACGAGAGGCACGCGGAGTTCAATGCTTCAAAAGGTGACGATGCCTGACTCCTCTTGAATATTGATAGGAATCCCAAAATCCCTGTGGCTATTGGAAAGGTTCCTTGGGTGCCCTGCCTCATCTCGAGAAGCGTCCCTTGTGCCCCGGCAAGCCTCGAAGAGATTCCTGAGATGTCCCTCGTTACTGCACAGGAGGCCGGACGTCACTGAATAAACACGTGTTTTGAAGGGCCATCGCCGCCGTAACTCGAGTATATACCCAAGGTCCCCGCCGCAACTCGAGAAAAACCATGAGACTTACGCCTAGAGGCGAGATGAGGCCCGATTCTCCTGCAGTGCATGCAGAGCAATTCCGTGATCCCCATCAAACAAGTCAGGAACTTCGACTTGCTTAATGGATCTCGAGACATTCCCCAAGAACACTGTCACATGTCTAGACGGACCCTGAGGTATCCCCAGCAACGCAAAGCAGCTCCATGTGCCCCAAATCAACTTGAGATGAGGTCCGATTCCCCTGCATTGACTCCAGAGCCATCTGCCGTTCCGCATTAAACACCACCAGTGGCTTGACCTCCTTCAGACAACTCCAGAGATGCCCCGAGAACACTGTCCCAAGTCTAGAGGAACACCTACTTTAGCACAGCAACTCGAGGAATGCTTCCGGTATGCCAAATCTTCTCGAGTTGAGAGCTGATTCCCTGGCTTAGGCTCAAGACGTATGCCAACTTTCCAGAAGCACCTCAAGAGGAGGCTTCTCTCAGCAATAGGTATGTGGGAGGGAACCCGAGTTTGCTGCCTCAAATGGAATATACAGCGAGAAGCACTAACTAGAATGGAGGCCGGTTTCCTAGCAGTGTCTTGAATACAGGCTCATCTTTCATCTCACAGCAGGAAGAGATGTCTGAATCCCCTGTGGAGACCTTAGAGAAAGCCCTAGGTCCCTGCCTCATTTTGACGGAATGCCTCACATCCCGTTGACACCTCGAGAGTCACGCGCAGTTCACTGCTTCAAAAGCTGACGATGCCTGACTCCTCTTGAATATTGATAGGAATCACAAAATCCCTGTGGCTATTTGAAAGGTTCCTTGGGTGCCCTGCGTCACCTCGAGAAGCGTCCCTTGTGCCTGCCAAGCCTCGAAGAGATTCCTGAGCTGTCCCTCGTTACTGGACAGGAGTCCTGACGTCACTGAATAAACACGAGTTTTTAAGGGCCATCACCGCCGTAACCGGAGTACATACCCCAGGTCCCCGCCGCAAGTCGAGAAAAACCATGAGACTTTCCCCTAGTGGCGAGATGAGGCCCGATTCTCCTGCAGTGCATGCAGAGCAATTCCATGATCCCCATCAAACAAGTCAGGACCTTCGACTTGCTTAATGGATCTCGAGACAGTCCCCAAGAATACTATCACATGTCTAGACCGATCCTGAGGTCACCCCATCAACGCAAAGCAGCACCATGTGCCCCACATCAACTCGAGATAATGCCCGATTCCCCTGCATTGACTCCAGAGCCATCCCCCGTTCCCCATTAAACACCACCAGTGGCTTGACTTCCTTCAGACAACTCCAGAGATGCCGTGAGAACACTGTCCCAAGTCTAGAGGAACACCGTCTTCAGCACAGCAACTCGAGGAATGCTCCGTGTACCCCAAATCGTCTCGAGATGAGAGCTGATTCCCTGGCTTATGCTCAAGACGTATGCCAACTTTCCAGAAGCACCTCAAGGGGAGGCTTCGCTCAGCAATAGTTATGTTGGAGGGACCCCCAGTTTGCTGCCTCAAGTTGAATATGCAACGAGAAGCCCTAACTTGAAAGGAGGCCGGGTTTCCTTGCAGTGTCTTGAATACAGGCTCGTCTTTCATCTCACAACCGGAAGGATTGTCTGAATCCCCTGTGGAGACCTTAGCGAAAGCCCTAGGTCCCTGCCTCATTTTGACGGATTGCCTCACATCCCGTTGACACCTCGGGAGGCACACGGAGTTCACTGCTTCAAATGTGACGATGCCTGACCCCTCCTGATCATTGATAGGAATCCCAAAATCACTGTGGCTACAGGAAAGGGTTCTTGTGTGCCCTGCCTCACCTCGAGAAGCATCCCTTTTGCCCTGCCAAGGCTCGAAGAGATTCCTGAGGTGTCCCTCATTACTAGACAGGAGTCATGACATCACTGAATAAACACGTGTTTTCAAGGGCCATGCCCGCCATAACTTGAGAACATACCCCAGTCCCGCCGCAACTCGAGAATAAAGATGAGACTTCCCCTAGATGCGAGATGAGGCCTGATTACCTGCAGTCCATGCAGAGCATTCCCGTGATCCCAATCAAGCAAGTCAGCAGCTTCGAATTTCTTAATTGATCTCGAGGGAGTCCCCAGGAACACTGTCACAAGTCTAGACAGACCCTGACATCACCCCAGCAACGCAAAGCAGCTCCAAGTACCCCACATCAACTCGCGTTGAGGCCCGATTCCCATGCATTGACTCCAGAGCCATACCCCGTACCCCATTAAACACCACCAGTGGCTTGACTTCCTTCAGGCAACTCGAGAGATGCCTCGAGAACACGGTCCCAAGTCTAGAGGAATACGAACTTCAGCACAGCAACTCGAGGAATGCTCCGTGTACCCCAAATCGTTTCGAGGTGAGAGCTGATTCCATGGCTTAGGCTCAAGACGTATGCCAACTTTCCAGAAGCACCTCAAGAGGAGGCTTCTCTCAGCAATAGGTATTTGGGAGGGACCCCGAGTTTGCTGCCTCAAGTGGAATATACAGCGAGAAGCCCTAACTTGAAAGGAGGCCGGATTTCCTTGCAGTGGCTTGGATACAGGCTCGTCTTTCATCTCACAGCATGAAGGGATGTCTGAATCCCCTGTGGAGACCTTAGAGATAGCTCTAGGTCCCTGCATCATTTTGACGGAATGCCTCACATCCAGTTGACACTTCGAGAGGCACGCGGAGTTCACTGCTTCAAAAGGTGATGATGCCTGACTCGTCTTGAATATTGATAGGAATCCCAAAATCCCTGTGGCTATTTTAAACGTTCCTTGGGAGCCCTGCCTCAAGTGGAGAAGCGTCCCTTGTGCCCTGCCAAGCCTCGATGAGATTCCTGAGCTGTCCCTCGTTACTTTACAGGAGTTCTGACGTCACTGAATAAACATGTGTTTTGAAGTTCCATCGCCGCCGTAACCCGAGTACATACCCCAGGTCCCCGCCGCAATTCGAGAAAAACCATGAGACTTTCCCCTAGAGGCGAGATGAGGCCCGATTCTCCTGCAGTGCATGCAGAGCAATTCCGTGATCCCCATCAAACAAGTCAGAAGCTTCGACTTGCTTAATGGATCTCGAGACAGTCCCCAAGAACACTGTCACATGTCTAGACGGATCCTGAGGTCACCCCATCAAGGCAAAGCAGCACCATGTGCCCCAAATGAACTCGAGATAATGCCCGATTCCCCTGCATTGACTCCAGAGCCATCCCCCCTTCCACATTAAACACGACCAGTGGCTTGACTTCCTTCAGGCAACTCCAGAGACGCCCTGAGAACACTGTCCCAAGTCTAGAGAAACACCATCTTCAGCACAGCAACTCGAGGAATGCTCCGTGTACCCCAAATCGTCTCGAGATGAGAGCTGATTCCCTGGCTTAGGCTCAAGACGTACGCCAACTTTCCAGAAGCACCTCAAGGGGAGGCTTCTCTCAGCAATAGGTATGTTGGATGGACCCCCAGTTTGCTGCCTCTAGTGGAATATGCAGCGAGAAGCCCTAACTTGAAAGGAGGCCGGGTTTCCTTGCAGTGTCTTGAATACAGGCTCGTCTTTCATCTCACAACCGGAAGGAATGTCTGAATTCTCTGTGGAGACCTTAGAGAAAGCCCTACGTCCCTGCCTCATTTTGAAGGAATGTCTCACATCGCGTTGACACCTCGAGAGGCACACGGAGTTCACTGCTTCAAAATGTGACGATGCCTGACCCCTCCTGATCATTGATAGGAATCCCAAAATCACTGTAGCTACAGGACAGGGTTCTTGGGTGCCCTGCCTCACCTCGAGAAGCATCCCTTTTGCCTGCCAAGCCTCGAAGAGATTCCTGACGTGTCTCTCGTTACTAGACAGGAGTCCTGACGTCACTGAATAAACATGTGTTTTGAAGGGCCATCCCCGCCGTAACTCGAGAACATACCCAAGGTCCCGCCGCAACTCGAGAAAAACCATGAGACTTCCCCTAGATGCGAGATGAGGCCTGATTCCCTGCAATCCATGCAGAGCATTCCCATGATCCCATCAAGCAAGTCAGGAGCTTCGACTTGCTTAATCGAACTCGAGAAAGTCCCCAGGAACACTGTCACAAGTCTAGACAGACCCTGAGGTTAACCCAGCAATGTAAAGCAGCTCCAAGTACGCCACATCAACCCGCGATGAGGCCCGATTCCCCTGCATTGACTCCAGAGCCATCCCCCGTACCACATTAAACACCACAAGTGGCTTGACTTCCTTCAGGCAACTCCAGAGATGCCCTGAGAACACTGTCCCAAGTCTAGAGGAATACGAACTTCAGCACAGCAACTGGAAGAATGCTCCGTGTACCCCAAATCGTTTCGAGGTGAGAGCTGATTCCATGGCTTAGGCTCAAGACGTATGCCAACTTTTCAGAAGCACCTCAAGAGGAGGCTTCTCTCAGCAGTAGGTATGTGGGAGGGACCCCGAGTTTGCTGCCTCAAGTGGAATATACACGAGAAGCCCTAACTTGAAAGGAGGACGGATTTACTTGCAGTGGCTTGAATACAGGCTCGTCTTTCATCTCACAGCATGAAGGGATGTCTGAATCCCCTGTGGAGACCTTAGAGAAAGCTCTAGGTCCCTGCCTCATTTTGAGGGAATGCCTCACATCCCGTTGTCACCTCGAGAGGCACACGGAGTTCACTTCTTCAAAAGGTGACGATGCCTGACTCCTCTTGAATATTGATAGGAATCAAAAAATCACTGTGGCTACTGGAAAGGGTCCTGGGGTGCCCTGCCTCACCTCGAGAAGCATACCTTTTGACCTGCCAAGCCTCGAAGAGATTCCTGAGGTTTCCCTCGTTACTAGACAGGAGTCCTGACGGCACTGAATAAACACGGGTTTTGAGGGGCCATCCCCGCCGAAACTCGAGAAGATACCCCAGGTCCCCAGCGCAACTTGAGAGAAACCATGAGACTTCCCCCAAGATGCGAGATGAGTCCTGATTCCCTGCAGTGCATGCAGGGTATTCCCGTGATCCCCATCAAACAAGTCAGGAGCTTCGACTTGCTTAAAGGATCTCGAGACAGTCCCCAAGAACACTGTCACAAGTCTAGAAGGACCCTGAGGTCACCCCAGCAAAGCAAAGCAGCTCCATGTGCCCCAAATCAACCCGAAATGTGGCCCGATTCCCCTGAATTGACTCCAGAGCCATCCCCAGTTCCCCATTAAACAAGACCACTGGCTTGACTTCCTTCAGGCAACTCCAGAGATGCCCCGAGAAAACTGTCCCAAGACTAGAGGAACACCAACTTCAGCACAGCAACTAGAGGAATGATCCGTGTACCACAAATCGTCTCGAGATGAGAGCTGAATCCCTGGCTTAGGCTCAAGACGTATGCCAACTTTCCAGAAGCACCTCAAGAGGAGGCTTCTCTCAGCAATAGGTATGTTCTTGGGACCCCGAGTTTGCTGCCTCAAATGATATATACAGCGAGAAGCCCTAAATTGAAACGAGGCCGGATTTCCTTGCAGTGGCTTGAATACAGGATCGTCTTTCATCTCACAGCAAGAAGGGATGTATGAATCCCCTGTGGAGACGTTAGAGAAAGCTCTAGGTCCCTGCCTCATTTTGACGGAATGCCTCACATCGCGTTGTCACCTCGAGAGGCAAGCGGAGTTCAGTGCTTCAAAATGTGACGATGCCTGACTCCCCTTGAATATTGATAGGAATCCCAAAATCCATGTGGCTATTGGAAAGGTTCCTTGGGTGCCCTGTCTCACCTCGAGAAGCGTCCCTTGTGCACTGCCAAGCCTCGAAGAGATTCCTGAGCTGCCCCTCGTTACTGGACAGGAGTCCTGACGTCACTGAATAAACACGAGTTTTGAAGGGCCATCCCCGCCGTAAGCCGAGTACATACCCCAGGTCCCCGCCGCAAGTCGAGAAAAACCATGAGACTTTCCCCTAGAGGCGAGATGAGGCCCGATTCTCCTGCAGTGCATGCAGAGCAATTCCGTGATCCCCATCAAACTAGTCAGGACCTTCAACTTGCTTAATGGATCTCGAGACAGTCCACAAGAATACTGTCACATGTCTAGACGGATCCTGAGGTCACCCCATCAACGCAAAGCAGCACAATGTGCCCCAAATCAACTCGGGATGATGGCAGATTCCCCTGCATTGACCCTAGATCCATCCCACGTTCCCCACTAAACACGACCAGTGGCTTGACTTCCTTCAGGCAACTCCAGAGATGCCCGGAGAACACTGTCCCAAGTCTAGAGGAACACCAACTTCAGCACAGCAACTCGAGGAATGCGCCGTGTACCCCAAATCGTCTCGAGATGAGAGCTGATTCCCTGGCTTAGGTTCAAGACGTATGCCAACTTTCCAGAAGCACCTCAAGCGGAGGATTCTCTCAGCAATAGGTATGTTGGAGGGACCTCCACTTTGCTGCCTCAAGTGGAATATACAGTGAGAAGCCCTAACTTGAAAGGAGGCCGGATTTCCTTGCAGTGTCTTGAATACAGGCTCGTCTTTCATCTCACAACAGGAAGGGTTGTCTGAATCCCCTGTGGAGACCTTAGAGAAAGCCCTAGGTCCCTTCCTCATTTTGAAGGAATGCCTCACATCCCGTTGACACCTCGAGAGGCACACGGAGTTCACTGCTTCAAAATGTGACGATGCCTGTCTCCTCCTGAACATTGATAGGAATCCCAAAATCACTGTGGCTACTGGAAAGGGTTCTTGTGTGCCCTGCCTCACCTCGAGAAGCATGCATTTTGCCCTGCCAAGCCTCGAAGAGATTCCTGATGTGTCCCTCGTTACTAGACAGGAGAACTGACGTCACTGAATAAACACGTGTTTTGAAGGGCCATCCCCGCCATAACTCGAAAACATACCCCAGGTCCCGCCGCAACTCGAGTAAAACCATGAGACTTCCCCTAGAGGCGAGATGAGGCCTGATTCCCTGCAGTCCATGCAGAGCATTCCCGTGATCCCCATCAAGCAAGTCAGGAGCTTCGACTTGCTTAATCGAACTCGAGAAAGTCCCCAGGAACACTGTCACAAGTCTAGACAGACCCTGAGGTCACCCCAGCAATGCAAAGCAGCTCCAAGTGCCCCACATCAACTCGAGATGAGGCCCGATTCTCCGGCATTAACTCAAGAGCCATCCCCCGTACCCCATTAAACACCAACACTGGCTTGACTTCATTCAGGCAACTACAGAGATGCCCCAAGAACACTGTTCCAAGTCTAGAGGAACACCAACTTCAGCACAGCAACTCGAGGAATGCCCCGTGTACCACAAATCGTTTCGAGGTGAGAGCTGATTCCCAGGCTTAGGCTCAAGACGTATACCAACTTTCCAGAAGCACCTCAAGAGGAGGCTTCTCTCAGCAATCGGTATGTGGGAGGGAACCCGAGTTTGCTGCCTCAAGTGGAATATACAGTGAGAAGCCCTAACTTGAAAGGAGGCCGGATTTCCTGGCAGTGTGTTGAATACAGGCTCGTCTTTCATCTCACAACAGGAAGGGATGTCTGAATCCCCTGTGGAGACCTTAGAGAAAGCCCTAAGTCCCTGCCTCATTTTGACGGAATGTCTCACATCCCGTTGACACCTCGAGAGGCACACGGAGTTCACTGCTTCAAAATGTGACGATGCCTGACTCCTCCTGAACATTGATAGGAATCCCAAAATCAATGTAGCTACAGGACAGGGTTCTTTGGTGCCCTGCCTCACCTCGAGAAGCATCCCTTTTGCCCTGCCAAGCCTCGAAGAGATTACTTAGGTGTCTCTCGTTACTAGACAGGAGTCCTGACGTCACTGAATAAACACGTGTTTTGAAGGGCCATCCCCGCCGTAACTCGAGAACATACCCCAGTTCGCGCCGCAACTCGAGTAAAACCATGAGACTTCCCCTAGAGGCGAGATGAGGCCTGATTCCCTGCAGTCCATGAAGAGCATTCCCTTGATCCCTATCAAGCAAGTCAGGAGCTTCGACTTGCTTAATTGAACTCGAGAAAGTCCCCATGAACACTGTCACAAGTCTAGACAGACCCTGAGGTCACCCCAGCAATGCAAAGTAGCTGCAAGTACCCCACATCAACTCGAGATGAGGTCCGATTCCCATGCATTGACTCCAGAGCCATCCCCAGTTCCCCATTAAACAAGACCACTGGCTTGTCTTCCTTCAGACAACTCCAGAGATGCCCCGAGAACACTGTCCCAAGACTAGAGGAACACCAACTTCAGCACAGCAACTCGAGGAATGCCCCGTGTACCACAAATCGTCTCGAGATGAGAGCTGATTCCCTGGCTTAGGCTCAAGACGTATGCCAACTTTCCAGAAGCACCTCAAGAGGAGGCTTCTCTCAGCAATAGGTATGTTCGTGGGACCCCGAGTTTGCTGCCTAAAGTGGAATATACAGCGAGAAGCCCTAACTTGAATGGAGGCCGGATTTCATTGCAGTGTCTTGTATACAGGCCCGTCTTTCATCTCACAACAGGAAGGGATGTCTGAATCCCCTGTGAAGATCTTTGAGAAAGTCCTAGGTCCCTGCCTCATTGTGACGGAATGCCTCACATCCCGTTGACACCACGAGAGGCACGCGGAGTTCACTGCTTCAAAAGGTGACGATGCCTGACTCTTCTTGAATATTGATAGGAATCCCAAAATCCCTGTGGCTATTGGAAAGGTTCCTTGGGTGCCCTGCCTCATCTCAAGAAGCGTCCCTTGTGCCCCGGCAAGCCTCGAAGAGATTCCTGAGCTGTCCCTCGTTACTGGACAGGAGTCCTGACGTCACTGAATAAACACGTGTTTTGAAGGGCCATCGCCGCCGTAACTCGAGTATATACCCCAGGTCCCCGCCGCAACTCGAGAAAAACCATGAGACTTCCGCCTAGAGGCGAGATGAGGCCCGATTCTCCTGCAGTGCATGCAGAGCAATTCCGTGATCCCCATCAAACAAGTCAGGAGCTTCGACTTGCTTAATGGATCTCGAGACATTCCCCAAGAACACTGTCACATGTCTAGACGGACCCTGAGGTATCCCCAGCAACGCAAAGCAGCTCCATGTGCCCCAAATCAACTTGAGATGAGGTCCGATTCCCCTGCATTGACTCCAGAGCCATCTGCCGTTCCGCATTAAACACCACCAGTGGCTTGACCTCCTTCAGACAACTCCAGAGATGCCCCGAGAACACTGTCCCAAGTCTAGAGGAACACCTACTTTAGCACAGCAACTCGAGGAATGCTTCCTGTATGCCAAATCTTCTCGAGTTGAGAGCTGATTCCCTGGCTTAGGCTCAAGACGTATGCCAACTTTCCAGAAGCACCTCAAGAGGAGGCTTCTCTCAGCAATAGGTATGTGGGAGGGAACCCGAGTTTGCTGCCTCAAATGGAATATACAGCGAGAAGCACTAACTAGAATGGAGGCCGGTTTCCTAGCAGTGTCTTGAATACAGGCTCATCTTTCATCTCACAGCAGGAAGAGATGTCTGAATCCCCTGTGGAGACCTTAGAGAAAGCCCTAGGTCCCTGCCTCATTTTGACGGAATGCCTCACATCCCGTTGACACCTCGAGAGTCACGCGCAGTTCACTGCTTCAAAAGCTGACGATGCCTGACTCCTCTTGAATATTGATAGGAATCACAAAATCCCTGTGGCTATTTGAAAGGTTCCTTGGGTGCCCTGCGTCACCTCGAGAAGCGTCCCTTGTGCCTGCCAAGCCACGAAGAGATTCCTGAGCTGTCCCTCGTTACTGGACAGGAGTCCTGACGTCACTGAATAAACACGAGTTTTTAAGGGCCATCACCGCCGTAACCGGAGTACATACCCCAGGTCCCAGCCGCAAGTCGAGAAAAACCATGAGACTTTCCCCTAGTGGCGAGATGAGGCCCGATTCTCCTGCAGTGCATGCAGAGCAATTCCATGATCCCCATCAAATAAGTCAGGACCTTCGACTTGCTTAATGGATCTCGAGAGAGTCCCCAAGAATACTATCACATGTCTAGACCGATCCTGAGGTCACCCCATCAACGCAAAGCAGCACCATGTGCCCCACATCAACTCGAGATAATGCCCGATTCCCCTGCATTGACTCCAGAGCCATCCCCCGTTCCCCATTAAACACCACCAGTGGCTTGACTTCCTTCAGACAACTCCAGAGATGCCCTGAGAACACTGTCCCAAGTCTAGAGGAACACCGTCTTCAGCACAGCAACTCGAGGAATGCTCCGTGTACCCCAAATCGTCTCGAGATGAGAGCTGATTCCCTGGCTTATGCTCAAGACGTATGCCAACTTTCCAGAAGCACCTCAAGGGGAGGCTTCTCTCAGCAATAGGTATGTTGGAGGGACCCCCAGTTTGCTGCCTCAAGTGGAATATGCAGCGAGAAGCCCTAACTTGAAAGGAGGCCGGGTTTCCTTGCAGTGTCTTGAATACAGGCTCGTCTTTCATCTCACAACCGGAAGGAATGTCTGAATCCTCTGTGGAGACCTTAGAGAAAGCCCTAGGTCCCTGCCTCATTTTGAAGATATGTCTCACATCGCGTTGACACCTCGAGAGGCACACCGAGTTCACTGCTTCAAAATGTGATGATGCCTGACTCCTCTTCAACATTGATAGGAATCCCAAAATCACTGTAGCTACAGGACAGGGTTCTTGGGTGCCCTGCCTCACCTCGAGAAGCATCCCTTTTGCCTGCCAAGCCTCGAAGAGATTCCTGAGGTGTCTCTCGTTACTAGACAGGAGTCCTGACGTCACTAAATAAACACGTGTTTTGAAGGGCCATCCCCGCCGTAACTCGAGAACATACCCAAGGTCCCGCCGCAACTCGAGAAAAACCATGAGACTTCCCCTAGATGCGAGATGAGGCCTGATTCCCTGCATTCCATGCAGAGCATTCCCATGATCCCCATCAAGCAAGTCAGGAGCTTCGACTTGCTTAATCGAACTCGAGAAAGTCCCCAGGAACACTGTCACAAGTCTAGACAGACCCTGAGGTCAACCCAGCAATGTAAAGCAGCTCCAAGTACGCCACATCAACCCGCGATGCGGCCCGATTCCCCTGCATTGACTCCAGAGCCATCCCCCGTACCACATTAAACACCACAAGTGGCTTGACTTCCTTCAGGCAACTCCAGAGATGCCCTGAGAACACTGTCCCAAGTCTAGAGGAATACGAACTTCAGCACAGCAACTGGAAGAATGCTCCGTGTACACCAAATCGTTTCGAGGTGAGAGCTGATTCCATGGCTTAGGCTCAAGACGTATGCCAACTTTCCAGAAGCACCTCAAGAGGAGGCTTCTCTCAGCACTAGGTATGTGGGAGGGACCCCGAGTTTGCTGCCTCAAGTAGAATATACACGAGAAGCCCTAACTTGAAAGGAGGACGGATTTCCTTGCAGTGGCTTGGATACAGGCTCGTCTTTCATCTCACAACCGGAAGGATTGTCTGAATCCCCTGTCGAGACCTTTGCAAAAGCCCTAGGTGCCTGCCTCATTTTGACGGATTGCCTCACATCCCGTTGACACCTCGGGAGGCACACGGAGTTCACTGCTTCAAATGTGACGATGCCTGACCCCTCCTGATCATTGATAGGAATCCCAAAATCACTGTCGCTACAGGAAAGGGTTCTTGTGTGCCCTGCCTCACCTCGAGAAGCATCCCTTTTGCCCTGCCAAGGCTCGAAGAGATTCCTGAGGTGTCCCTCATTGCTAGACAGGAGTCATGACGTCACTGAATAAACACGTGTTTTCAAGGGCCATGCCCGCCATAACTCGAGAACTTACCCCAGGTCCCGCCGCAACTCGAGAAAAACCATGAGACTTCCCCTAGATGCGAGATGAGGCCTGATTCCCTGCAGTCCATGCAGAGCATTCCCGTGATCCCAATCAAGCAAGTCAGCAGCTTCGAATTGCTTAATGGATCTCGAGAGAGTCCCCAGGAACACTGTCACAAGTCTAGACAGACCCTGACATCACCCCAGCAACGCAAAGCAGCTTCAAGTACCCCACATCAACTCGCGTTGAGGCCCGATTCCCATGCATTGACTCCAGAGCCATCCCCCGTAGCCCATTAAACACCACCAGTGGCTTGACTTCCTTCAGGGAACTCGAGAGATGCCCAGAGAACACTGTCCCAAGACTAGAGGAATACGAACTTCAGCACAGCAACTCGAGCAATGCTCCGTGTACCCCAAATCGTTTCGAGGTGAGAGCTGATTCCATGGCTTAGGCTCAAGACGTATGCCAACTTTCCAGAAGCACCTCAAGAGGAGGCTTCTCTCAGCAATAGATATTTGGGAGGGACCCCGAGTTTGCTGCCTCAAGTGGAATATACAGCCAGAAGCCCTAACTTGAAAGGAGGCCGAATTTCCTTGCAGTGGCTTGGATACAGGCTCGTCTTTCATCTCACAGCATGAAGGAATGTCTGAATCCCCTGTGGAGACCTTAGAGAAAGCTCTAGGTCCCTGCATCATTTTGACGGAATGCCTCACATCCAGTTGACACTTCGAGAGGCACGCGGAGTTCACTGCTTCAAAAGGTGATGATGCCTGACTCGTCTTGAATATTGATAGGAATCCGAAAATTACTCTGGCTACTGGAAAGGGACATTGGTTGCCCTGCCTCACCTCGAGAAGCATACGTTTTGACCTGCCAAGCCTCGAAGAGATTCCTGAGGTGTCCCTCGTTACTAGACAGGAGTCCTGATGGCACTGAATAAACACGGGCTTTGAGGGGCCATCCCCGCCGTAACTCGAGAAGATACCCCAGGTCCCCCGCGGAACTTGAGAGAAACCGTGAGACTTCCCCCTAGATGCGAGATGAGTCCTGATTCCCTGCAGTGCATGCAGAGTATTCCCGTGATCCCCATCAAACAAGTCAGGAGCTTCGACTTGCTTAATGGTTCTCGAGACATTCCCCAAGAACTCTGTCACAAGTCTAGACGGACCCTGAGGTCACCCCAGCAACGCAAAGCAGCTCCATGTGCCCCAAATCAACCCGAGATGTGGCCCGATTCCCCTGCATTGACTCCAGAGCCATCCCCAGTTCCCCATTAAACAAGACAACTGGCTAGACTTCCTTCAGGCAACTCCAGAGATGCCCCGCAAACACTCTCCCTAGACTAGAGGAACACCAACTTCAGCACAGCAACTCGAGGAATGCTCCGTGTACCACAAATCGTCTCGAGATGAGAGCTGAATCCCTGGCTTAGGCTCAAGACGTATGCCAACTTTCCAGAAGCACCTCAAGAGGAGGCTTCTCTCAGCAATAGGTATGTTGGAGGGACCCCGAGTTTGCTGCCTCAAGTGGAATATAAAGCGAGAAGCCCTAACTTGAAAGGAGGCCGGATTTCCTTGCAATGGCTTGAATACAG